AAAAATATTTCAATGGTATAAGTGGGCCTTTGAGTCGGTCACAGGAGGTTTTCACCAGGTACATTGATTCTATTATAGAAAACAATAAGATTGTGTCTGTGTGTGAGCATATGACTGATTCTGTTCAGTGTGGTTACGGTATATATATGTAGAAAAGTGAAGTGAGTCGCTGTTATACATAATACTGAATGTTTAATAGTTTTAAGTCTTTTTAATAAGCAATTATTTTTAAGGTTTCGAAGAAAACCTTTAAAATAATTTCCCAGCCAAAACTGAGAGAGTACACTAATAAGCAGATTACACACTTTTCAGGGTTTTCCTGGCCAAAACTAAGATTGTGGTTGGCTTATGATCCATTGGGAATAAATTTTCAAGATCCCAATAATAGCAAGTTACCTCAAGATTATTACCCAGTGTGATAAATCAAGCATCAAGTTAAAATGTGAAAAAATAAAACCAAAAATATTTTTTTTTTAAAATTAGTAGCATAGGTAATGAAAAATAAATACAATAAAAAGGACTGGATTTACCTGAAGTAAAATGTTGACCAGTCATTGTCCTGGCATGTCATGATTCATCCTGCACATTCATCATAAGTTAATAAGAGCAGCTGTGAATTCTGGCAGTGATCTCTGTGAAAACAACAACTTTAACCTGGAAGTAAAATAAAACAATTAGTAGAAAACAGAAACTTTATTATATTAGAGCGCAAGCTTGCATTAATAAGAAGACAATATCCTATGAACAATTTTAACCTGAAAGTTACCATCATAAAAAGTACCAAAAAAATTAATCACACACTTGGTGTAATCATTGCTTTTACACCAGCCATGTTTGCATGGTTGTTTCGACAAAAAATTCCTGGTTCTCTAAGGGAAAGTTGAATAGCTTTGTTTATTTAATCTATTAAATAGTTAAAGTCCAAACACTATTGGAATTAGGGAGGTGGTGTTAAATGAACAAAAGAAAACCTTCAAAATGGTCACGTCAAGCTCAGTGCAAGATTTTAACTACAACTGCATTACAGTAGTGAATCTTTAAAAATTTAAATAAGATTTTTTTGTCATAGATCAATGGTAATATAATTTTAACCTGCAAGATGTAACTCTTGATTATTACTACTATGATTTTAACCAAAAAAATATATGCTATAGCGACTGATGAATCTAAATATAAAAGGCAATCCATCTAAATAGCTCTTTTGAATTTTTTAATCATTTCTTTTACAGCAAAAATGCACTCAATATGTGATGTCAGAAGGAAATTTAGATTTTTTAGGAATTTTTATCTAATTTTAACTAAATTAGGAATGTGCAAGACTTTACCCTAACCTAATCAGTGAAACTAGCCATTCCAATACAGTCTTTTGATATTTTTTACATGCACTTGCGGGATTTATCTTTATATAAAGTGCATTCAAAGGATCAAGATACTAATATTTATTATTGGAAGGGGGATTAGGATGATTGCTAGGTGTTAAGAGAAAATGTAAAGATATGTGTTTATTATGGCATGTAATTGACTAGGACAGAGGCTCCCAGACTGTGTCCTGCTGCAACCTGAAGTGTTAAAAAATTAATGGACTTAATGCAAGCCATTTATAATTAAGTTGGTATTTTTCACTAGTTCTCCAACCTACTACTGTTTGGATAATGTTACGACGATCACGGATATATATGGTTTGTTATGGTTTTCTTCATTAAATAACTTCAATTTACTGCTCTTTTTTAACATCTCTCCTAACTCTCTGCCCAATTTTTATTTTAGTCACTTTTATATTTTCCTATATGTCTCAATTAACAGAGTTATCCCAAAATAATTCACGAAAAAAATCATAACTTTCTTTAGAATTGACCTACAAACATAAATTTAGTATCAATGAATTGCATTTTTCAGGCCCTATCTAACCAACTAGCTCTTAAAGCTATAAATTCATTTTGAAAATTTTACCCAAGTACCTATTACTTGGTACTCTGTTCTTATTAAAGTAGCAGTTGGTTTTGTGCAGCGTCTATGCTGTATCAATTAAATATTGTTTTGATAGAGTCAAGTGAAGTTAATGAGGTATGTCTTCTTGTATAAGTATAAGGTTTCAAAAATCGATTAGATTGTTTAAAAAGTGCTATTTTACAGTGCACAAAGAATGTGGCTTATTAGAGCAAAATTGAAAAGACGTGGGTGCTGGATTTTTTCTTGGCCGACGCTCAAGTGGTAGATTACTTGTAGAACTATATTTAAAATAGAATTAAAAAATACAATAAAATTATAAACATAAACGTATTCTTACTTGCTTTTAGCTTTACGTCCCATTGTTCTTCGCATTTCGTTAACGCTACCGGTTCATGAACGTCTTCAAAATATGGCGCATTTCTCGATTGATAGCAATGGCTCTATCTAAGACGGCAAACCAACAGGATGTATCCGTCATAACCGTCACGTGACCAACAAAATATAATAAAGCTCTCATGTGACCAGCCGGGTCCGAATAGTCAATTTCTGATATAGATACCCGGGTACCTATAGCCACTCCGTTTTTTTTTTTTAAGTTTAACTGGAGAAGTAAGTTTACAAACATACAGTTAATTCAATTATATTTCATTTGATACCAAATTTTTGTCTTACAAACCCAACAATATTTTTTAATAAACCCAACCTCTCACTCTTTTCCGGGTCCGAATAGCCACTTCATTACAAAAGGGTATAGATTTTATACTTGTTAGACTATGGTACAAGAAATTGAAAATTGCATTAGTAGTTCCTTCCCTTGTTTCCTTATACGTGAAAACAAAAACATTTTCTGACTCAACATAAACTCCAACTTCCTCCTCTCATTTGCTCAGATTTGACTCACTATTTCAAGTATGCAAGACAAAAGAATCGCCAGACTCATCCCATCTGTTTATTTTGCTTTATGGGCCTTATAAGTTTTATATGTCTGCAATAAATCAACTGACACCGGTTAAGTTATCCTAATAAAGAAATGAGTAGCTATGATGCAGGCGAAAATGTGGGTGGTGCCCCACTTCCTCCAGCTCGAAACAGAACAAAACCAACTGTTATTCGACCAGGAGTCAAAGCAAATGGTAATTTTTCTATAGATTCCTTGTAAATATTTTTCAAATTTAAAATATAATAATTTTTTATAAATTAATGATTAAAACCACTTTTCTAGTCAGTACCCTACATATAAAAATTAATACTGTACTGTACTTTATCACTGACGGTGGTGTAGCAATGGGGGCGGGAATAAGGAGGGGATGATCCACCCTGGTTGGAAATTTTTTCTTTATGTTGAGGGACAGCATATTTAGCCAATTGTTGAGCTTAATCAAGAGAAGGGGCAGAAAATAGCTTGGCCCTCCCAAGGCAAAACTAGCCCTTGCTAAGCCACGGAGTCCATGGCCCATGGCAATCCACTGCCAATAGCTCACTTGGCACGAGGCTACAATAATCATTTATTGGCATAACGACATATGAATACATAAGCCTATTAGTGATAAGTTAAGTTCTGGTTATTAGAAATCCACAAGAAGATTACTGACCAGAAGTCATGCAGTAACACTAGGCTGACCATAAATTTAAGGGTTTAAACCGTAACTCTTGGTTGGGTTATGGCATTGATAAGATAAGTGGGAGTTTATTATTATCAACATTATTTTAAAGATGTGGGTGAGGTGCATTTTTTGTAATTTATCACAGGCGGCATTTAGTCATCAAGTATTTTTAGTATTAGAAGAGAGAGACTATTCTCATCACCATCTAGACATTTTTGGGGGTATTAGGGGAGAGAGTCTATTCTCCCCACCAGCTAGAGAGTTTTGCTGCTTGATATTTTAAAATAGTATTCACTATCAAAGTACATTATATTGACTATTAGATCTTGAGTGGTCAATGGATTATAACTTGATTTTTTTTAATCATCTTTTTACATACGGTACCAAAGTTATTTTTAACGTGCAAGTATAATTTTTTGAATAAAATTTTTTTAAATATCAATTTTTAGCGGAAAATTAGATTTTTAGTTTTAAAAAATTTAGTCAGTGCATCATGTTTTGCTTTTGTTCATGATGCAATTTTTGTCCGCCGTATTGCGAATGTTGTGAAACTTCACTGAAGGCTGGTTGCAAAAAATGTAACAAATAGGCTCCAAATTCATCTTTTAACCTTTCTGTTGACTATATTTTAAGTCAAAACTTGATAGTAACCCGATAAAAACAAGAAGAAGACAAGACTGCTGATGATTTGTGTATTTTCACCTGATCGAAAGTTCGTTATCAGTGGTAAGATTTTTTTCTTTGGTACTGCGGGTCAAAATGCTCTCAGATTTTGTGGAATTAGTGGAAAAAACTATGTGTACATTAATATACTGTAACTGTGGACTTGATAATTATTGAAATTAAGTAATTAAGCTCATTAATAATAATTTATTATTCCAGGATATCAAGTGTATATATTTTTTTTTCATAGGCATAGTTGTTTGAAATTTCCTATGTTTACATTGGATACGCTTAGAAGAGGCAATGACTTTCCGGTCTATAATTTATCCTGGATTAAATTAAAAACAGCTTTTAATTTTGAATTTTTATTGTTTTTAATTGAATAATGCATTCAGTTTGTTCATTTTTTAATTTAATTTTAAGATCTAAGGCAATATGTAATGCTTATATTTTATAATAATTTCAAAGTATCTGAGTGGTGACTAGGATATTGGGCTACCCAAGCATCATGACAATGCTATTCCTGTCATAAGACCTTAGCTAACTACTTAAACCTGTCCCAGACAAGATAAGGAATACATTCACCTTTATCACTTTTCAACTTCAATTTACATCAACAAGGCTGGCGATGCTTTGTAAATGTATACAACAATTGAAGCTGCAATATTATGGCAACTAAGCCGACTTGATTTTAAAAACTGGACATTCCAGCTAATTAACAAAATTTCTAACGTTCATTGGCCTCATACCCTACAAGACCCACTTGTGTTATCTGCTTCTGGGAGTTTATTCACTGTATTATGGAATTCATAAATTGTTTTTAGGCCAATACTATAATAGGAATTTTCTATGAAAAAAAACCCAGAGTAAACTGCTGATAAGCAGGTATGTTAATTTCCTCTGTACCTGATGAAAAGTAGATGCATGCAAATATGGTCAGTGGAGCAGCTGTAATAAATAATCAAGAGAAGCAGGAGGGGACAGGACATACTCATTTCATAAATGTAACACCAATACTGGTATGAACAACATAACTGTAAATGAACTATTGGTCCTGGCAGATTCAATATCTACACAGTATAAATGGTTCTGTTGTTATAGTAAGCTAAGCTAAATCCAACTGCTGTGGCTAGTTGATTGGCCTGTGATAAACTTAGTGGATAAAAGATATCAGCTTTGAAATAAATACAAATAATGTGGAAAACAATATGATTAGTACAAGAAAAGAACAACAGTGGCCAAGACTGTTAAGAGGCTTATTCTTTCATTTTGTTAGTTTTCAACACTTATAGTCATATTTATTTTAATCTGAAGAAAACAAAACGCATGTCTTGAATAATTAAAAAGATCAAATAGCTTTAGTCTTTTTAGTTCCTTAGTAGACTTAATCAGGCAGTGACAAACTTTGTTTGACAATGCACATGTTTCTACTGCAGCAATATGAATGATTATAACACAGCAAAGGCATGATGTTAAAATTGCAAATGTAAATTACGTCACGCTAAAAATGCCCTTTTAGACCCCTCCCCCCCCCCCCCCCCTACNAGCCAGTTTTTAATTTATTCATGACGCCGGGGTCAAACGAGACATTCTTTGTTTTTGTTTCTAATTTTAATATTTCTTTATTTTTTTTTTTTTTGTGTTGGAAAAATGGATGTCATTTATTAATATTACTATACCGTAATAAACATTTTAACTTAGAATTAAACACTTTTTTTTTTTTTTGCTCCTACCTGTTTGTGGTATGTTTACATTTTTTTTAAATTTAGCACACCTAAAAACCTAATTCTTTTGGCCATTAATAAAAACCATAATAAAACTGTCACCTCAAAATTGATATCAAATAATAGATCATTCAATCCTGAATCCAAACGTTTGAAACCGGTATACCATGTTATTACTGCTATGTTCTTCACTGAACAACCAGCCAGATTGTAAAGGTACCTAAATGAGAGAGGAAAAAAATGGCAGAAAACCAAGAATATTTGAGAGTTAAGCTGGCCTAATATTTAGATGAGGTTTATCTATGTGGACTTCTATGGTAAATGTACACGCTCTTATTGGCCTTGTAAAAGAGAATGTAAATTTTAAAAATAAAAATATAAAAAATCCATTGCCTCATATAAGTTGTGGGCTGAAAACATAAAATAAGTAAATAAGACTCAAATCAAACACTGACTGTAGAATGTGTGTTAACTGAAACATATCTAAACACAAGGTGTGCAATAGAAGCTTGGAACTTGCCAGTCCTTACTCATAGAATTTTAGCTTTGTTTTTTTTATCTATGACTGATAATACTGATATTGCATAATCATACTGTATTCATATCATAATTAAATGCATCACAAAATATGTGCAACTGAGATGATAGAGTTTAGTAGTCCAGTTGTATAGCAGCAAATGAGAAATAATGTGCCATTGCTCTGCCTTATAAATTGTAATTACTTGTTACTATTTTCAATTTTTTTTTCTCTGAAACAACTCTTACTCTTAACCTTTAAACCTTAACAGATTCATCAACCTGCCAATACCCACATCAAATGGATTGCACATTATGATCCCTTAACCCTGTTAGCCAGATTTTTAAAATCCTATGAATGTTTATAGATTTAGCTCTTTAACCAAACAGTTTTTTGTTTGTTTCCAATAACCACACGGGGCTATGGAAACCCCATCTGGTCTAGGCTGTGATGTAAAGAGCCATTTAAAAATATTTACGGCTAAATGAGGCAGTAGCACATCACCTCTTCCACTGCCTAGCACTCCATGACACACACCTAAACTACCTACCAAAAATACCAGACGACCCAAACACCCTATATACAGAACATTAACATCTGCAGAAAGTTTGCAAATTTTTCACCATGGTCTCTGACAGAAAACCACAGGCCCAGACGGCCGCTGGATGTTGATGATGACAAATCCTCTAAGGCTGCAGTCTAAATGACTGTGTAACATTAGGGGGGCTTCTACATGTTATTGTCACAAAATTTCCTTAATTTTTGTTATAGATTCGACATCATCACAGCCTACCCCTCAAAGACCTGCACCACCCACTCCTGGTAGCAGACCCCCACCACCCCAGCGACAGTCTGAGCAAATAAAGCCTGCTAGACCAGGTAGAGTTCCAATTATTTTTTATAAAAAGAATTCGTTTTAATGCCATAATTATAAAAATGAACTCTGTGAATTAAATTGGCAGAAGCATAACTGTGTTTGATGGCATTATTATAAGTTTAAAATATATATTAATGTTTAAAGTCGTTCTTTCTTCTCTTGGTCACTGTTTTCAGGGATTTCACAGTCTTCAACTGTAACAGCTGGCTCAGTGAATGGCTCCAATAACACAATAAAATCTAATGCGTCTGGCAAAAAGTAAGTTTTTCTCCAACACTAAGTTTTCTCTCAACAAGATTTTTGTTGAGCAATTTTTTAGATGAGTGATCTGAGAGAGGACTGGTGGCCCGATCAGAGAGACCCACGCCTAGTAAGTAGTTTAATCAGAGTTAAGGACCAGACAGTTTTAAACACAGTAAGCAAATACCAGTACTGACATATCCAGGGTATTCTACTGTCATTTTGCCATGAAAAAATCACTCAATGAAAAACCACTTTTGTTAATTCTACATTCATATTCCTCTGCCATTTTGTATTAGTATGACATGGGGTCAACTTTCAAATCTTAACAGATGGTCAACCAACATGGCTATTTTAAATAATTTATATCAGCATGGGAATTAAACTACAGACCGGGTCATTTACTTAACACCAGTTGGTCAACAATATAGTTTTAAATTATGCATTTCATAAACTGTGATGAATTATTATGGCGGGGAAAAAAGGGTGGTGGGGGGTAGAAAAGGAGGTAGAGAATCCAGTCGTAGGTTGTCGCAGAGTGACACAGGAATTTTCTTATACAATACTGACTTTAATTCATTTTATCTAAATCGAAAGCTTAAGATTCATTAGATACCCAACACTACTGCATCGTCTAGAACATTTAAAAAAAAAGGGTAATGTGAATGCACAAATGTGCAATACAAACAGGGGGTTATTGAAACATCAACAAAAAAGGATTCAATTTTACTCCTATATTTTCAGGAGATTGGAGATTACAATTGTTGATGCCAGACCCATGAGCGAGATGGGCTTTCGTGATGTTAAAGGGGGTGCAGCCTCTCCCACAGTAGCAACCTCTGCCCAGTCGACAGGGCCTGCAGACAAGAATGAAACCAACTCTGGTAATTATTAATTTCTCTTCTATTTTTTTATCACCTAATGGCTTTATGTGTTCTTTAGTTGTCACGAGTTATCATAAACAGATGTACCCATTTACAATTATAATATAACTAAGCTTTTATAAGGCTAGCTAAAAAATTTAAATTGTATAAACCAGTGGTTCTTAAAGTAAGAGGTTCCGCGACCCCTCCCACCCCACTTTGGAGTGCTCATGATGGGTTTATGTCCCCAAAGGACTGTGGTCGGTAAAAGTTTGAGAACCACTGGTATAAACCATTAAACTCCAATTTTGTTTTCTTTAATTCAATAAATAAATGCATTTTTAAACCGGTATTAAAAACTCAAAAACATCTCTTTGACAACATACAATGGCCATATCAGTCAGCTCCAGATGCTGTTCATCCATTGCCATATTTAAACAGAACTCCTTTATTTTATTCGAAAGTCTCTAAAGTCCAAGGAGGACCAAGGGAGCTTACTGCTATATATTTTGTCACTAAGTTGATGGGATGAGAGAGAATCTTATTTTAACTGTGGCTCACATTTCTGACAATTGTGATTGTCTGTTGTCAAGGTCTTTGTCATAGTCAGGGATTTAAGAATTTACATTAAGTAAAGAAAGTACTGGTATTAGAAATAATGCAATACAACCCATAAAGCAACTCTTTACAAATGGAACTCACTTCATTTCATGCAAAAAATGTCACATTGTATATACCGGTACTGGTAAGCCAATCTATTATGCTACACACAGTTCTTTCCCTTTGGGTGGGCAGTCACCCGGAGAATTATCTGTACAGTCACAATTGAAAGTTTAAATTTAGCTACTGGTTCTTGCTATAACCTGCCATACTTTACACTGAAACATTTTGTCCCACTGAAATGAAGTGTGTAGCCATTGATATTCCTGCATCAGTTTCAGTATCAAGGTCAGATCAAGAAGGACCACCCAAACCGAAACGTCCCTCGGTGAATCAGTCACCAGCTTCACTTAAACAAGGTAACACATTATTTCTTCACTTAAACAAGGTAACACATTATTTCTTCACTTAAACAAGGTAACACATTGTTATTGAATCGGCTACAAGCTTCCCTTAAGCATGTTGACACATTATTGCCTCACCTCATCTCTCCCCCCCATCTTTTCATGCAGGCCTAACAGTAATATAGGTCTGGTCAAAAGGATGTCAAAGGTCCACCATGAGCTAACTACTGTGTTGTACCATAATGCATCAGTTACCAGTGCAATGACAGCTTGATGCAGTGGTGAAGGGATGGAAAGATTATCTATTTATAGCTTAACACTGAGAGCAAGAAGCTCCTATCTGTAACATAGAAATAAACATTAGGAGGTTGTTTAAATGAAGAATGATGAATCATTAATGACTTGAAACTGGTAGAAGGACTTGCCAGCAGAAAAGTCACATACACTTGTCAGCAGAAAAGTCACATATACTTGCCAGCAGAAAAGTCACATATACTTGCCAGCAGAAAAGTCACATATACTTGCCAGCAGAAAAGTCACATATACTTGCCAGCAGAAAAGTCATCTATACTTGCCAGCAGAAAAGTCATCTATACTTGTCAGCAGGAAAGTCACCTATACTTTTCAGCAGAAATGTCAAATATACTTGCCAGCAGAAAAGTCACATACACTTGTCAGCAGAAAAGTCACATATACTTGCCAGCAGAAAAGGCACTTATACTTGCCAGCAGAAAATTCATCTATACTTGTCATCAGAAAAGTCAAATTTGTGGGAGGCGTATTGTATCAATGCATTTTATGATGTCTAATATTAGAGCAAGGATTCTCGTTATGTTATAAGATGACTGACATGGGCTATCATTTATTTTCCATTTAACTTATTTTCAGATAGCCAGGACCCTCTTCCTCCGCCCAAGCCGGCCAGACCTTCAGTTTTCCTACCAGACACCAAAAAGCCTGAAGACGAATCTCAAAATCTCATAGACTTTGACACATCTGGGCTTGAGGAGGTGAAGGCTCGTAGCACTGACCCCACAATCTTGCCTAAACCCATGAGGCCAACAATCATTCGGCCGCAGTCAAGACTCCAAACCAACAAAGGTAGTGGTGTTTTGCACACTTTGTATCCACTTGTAGCTGTTGGATGCCAACCCATTTTAACCTATAATTCAACAGAGCGTCAATAGGCGACTGTAACATAACTACAAGAAAAATTCTTAAATAATCTCCCCTTAGCGGCACATTGCTTTCTGACATGTTTACATCCTCCCCAATTAGATAAATCACAACTGTTAAATGAAATTGCTTATTTTAAAATGGCTTTTAGCAAATTTTGAGGGGTTTTTTTTTACACAGATCAATAGTAATTTTGTCAAAAGTGGCCTACGATGATAAATTTGATAGCAGTTTATATGTAATTATAATTATAGATGGTTCATCGGTTAATAATGCTAGCTTTAGTAATACAATTTCTTGTATTTAAATTTACGCAGTGAAAGCAGTATCATATGTCATGACAAAGCTATTGAGTTTACCGTCTTATAACCTTAAGTTTCACCGCAGAAAAATGTATGTGTACAGAAGGTTTTTTTTTTTACTCTATGATCTATTTGGATATACAGTGTTAACTTACTTTTATGTGGATTTTGCTTATTATTCAGATTCCTATTGGACAGTGGTTTCTTTATACAGTGTTAACTTACTTTTATGTGGATTTTGCTTATTATTCAGATTCCTATTGGACAGTGGTTTCTTTATACAGTGTTAACTTACTTTTATGTGGATTTTGCTTATTATTCAGATTCCTATTGGACAGTGGTTTCTTTATTACAGCGTTAACTTACTTTTATGTGGATTTTGCTCATTATTCAGATTCCTATTGGACAGTGGTTTCTTAATTAAATTTTCCACAACCTAAATTGACCCAGCCAAATGCAATCAAATTTGGAGAAATTAAAGACAGACGCTCTCTACTCAAAATATTAGTATTAAAAAAAAATTAAATCAACTTACTTTTAATTCAGAGAAGAGAATTAGAGTGATTATTTAACTTTAGAATCCGGAGACTTATTATTTAGCTTGGGAACGCCTGATGCTTATTTCCTCCTATCTTGATTTTACAGATATCTAATTCTTCAATTTTATTACAGACCAAGGATCTCCACCTTCCCTCCCATCCTCAGCTCCCAAGTCTATGCCCCCACCACCAAGCCGCCCAAATCTTCCATTACCGACATCATCGCCAACAGCACCCCTCATTCCAGCCACCCCTCCACAATCTAGCCCCACCCCCAGGCCCAGGAGCACATTTGTAGCACCCTCTGAGGGAAACAGCTCCAGTGTATCGTCATTAGAAGAGATCAAAGTTGTTCCAAAACCCTTGCCGCGCCCTACATCTAGACATCCAGGGGATGTGACTTCTACATCAAATAAAAATTTATCTATAGGGACCCCTTCTATTAAAACGGACTCAGAGTCATCTAAAACTTTATCAGGCAAATCTTCGAATGCACCCGATGAAACCCCAGCACACAAACTGAAACTTTCATCCCCATCAGATCCTCCACCTCGCCCTAAAAGGCCGTCAGCACCATCTAAAAAATCCCACCAGCAGACACCACATGTGGCAGCGGCTAAGCCCACTGTTCCTAAGGATGATTTCAATGATGTAGGTCCGGTCTATGCACAGATTGTGAAGCCACCTAAGGCTGACCACGGAGAAGCCACTTTGGAAACAAAAACTGGTCATGATTCACCATTCCAGGTCAAACTCAGGTCCACAGTAGAGAGCACCCCTGGTATCGCTGGGGCTGATGGGAAAGCTGAAAGGTCATCACAGCCACCAGTCTCGCCAAAGTCTAAACCTTCATTGTACCCATCATTGTCCTCCATGGAAAAACAAGAAGATGATCATTCAGAAGTTAAAGGATCTGAAATTGACAGCAATCAGGTTGTACTGCGGCCAGAGCTTAGGAAAAGTTCTGACTCTAGTCCCCAAGAGGCTGATGCGTCAAAACCAAAGCATATTTCAGGTGCTTTTTTGGCCCGATTTGAGCAAAGCTCAGACAACTCTGATGGCTCACATCAGAAGCCCACCCCACCTGTCCCATCCAAGAGACCCATCACATTTATTGGTGGACAAAACAAGGGTTCTCAAGAGTCCAGCGATCTACCTACAATGCAGAAACGAGAGGAAAAAGTGTAGGTCATATTTCTGGTTATGTCTGAGGTGTTCTATAAATAGCAGCAGGAACTCAAAATCAGCTAGTTAGAAGAAATGTAAAAACATTTAATGTTATTTATGATATATTAGTTTATATTTTAAAATGCAAGTTACAGTTGAAAATAGAGGCCGACCGAATTTCGGTTTCGGCGCCAAAAGTGGCCATTTGATCACTTTCAGCTTAATTTGGGTTTCAGACGAAACCAAAAAGTTAAATTTTGGCTTCGGCGGAACTGAAATGTTAACTTTTGGTTTAATTTCGGTTTCAGATTAAAGTAATTGTAACTTTTGGCCAGATGGCAATCCAACATTGCTCGGCGTCTTTCTGTCATCGTATGTTATATGTCTAATACCGGTACTCTGGGATAAATTGCTCACTGTTGAATGATGACGTACTTGTCCTTTATTTCCAAAAAATTAAATTTTACTTAGGCCTGGGCAGGTGTCAACAGTTTTGTGGAAGAAAAACTTCTAGTGGAATTGTAATATTTTATATCATTCTTTTTTTTATATTTTTTTTTTTCAAACATAAAATTTGGAACCCTAGGTTTATTCAATTCCTTCATTTTTTTATATTTATTTTGATTTATCATTATCATGCTCATCAAATTTGCCATTGGCAAAGGTGAACAATATTGCATAATCCTGGGGAATGGTAATATTTCTCCTATTGTTTTATTTTTTTTTTTTTAAATTAAGGAAACCTAGGCTTTTTCAATTCATTTATTTCTTGAAGTTCATGATCATCATGCTCAGAAACATTGGTATTGATGAAATAACAAGTGTGTGCATGTATCACTGGCTTGTATTATAATTATGTAGTAGGCCTCCTGCAGACCAGTTTACTTTTATGATATCTTGCGATTCTCCGTCGACACCCAAGAGAAGAACTATTTTGAGAGACCCGGTTAAAAAAAATTACCTCCCTTGGTGGGGGAAGTCGGTCACCGAACGAAATAAAATTACGTCACCAGCACGGTAAGACTAATATGTTGGTACTAGGCTAATATTAATACCATATGTTGGTACTAGGCTAATATTAATACCATATGTTGGTACTAGGCTAATATTAATACCATATGTTGGTACTAGGCTAATATTAATACCATATGTTGGTACTAGGCTAATATTAATACCGGTACAGGAATATCTTGCCAGCTATTAATGAAAACACAAAGCATTAGTATGAAGAAAAATGCGAAAAATTGTGGTGATATTTCTATAGCCTTAATAACTGATATTTAGGTGACAATTGGCTTTATTAGAGCCACAATAATTATATATGTATTTATGTTCTAAATTGTATTCAAGGGTCTATTTTGCACGAATTTTGCCCCCGCCCCCCCCCCCTCCAAATTTTCTCTTATCATACTACTTAAAAAAATAATTAAATTTCTATTTATTAATATTCACGATGATCTCATTTTTTTAAAAAAAGAATGTAAATATAAATATTTACCCCATCATTTTTTTGATGTATGTAAAATGTATGCGTGGACATAAAATACCTAAATATTTCAGTTTTGGCTTTGGTTTCGGACGAAACCAAAAAGTTAAATTTCGGTTTAATTTCTGCTACAGCTGAAACAGAATGTTAACTTTTTGTTTAATTTCAGTTTTGGCCGAAAGTCATTTTTAAATTTCGGCCTAGTTTCTGTTTCGGACAAAATCAGAAAATCACTTTTGGTCGGCCTCTAGTGGAAAATAATCAATATTTATTTGGCATAGTCATCAAGATTTTTGTTGTAACATCAATATTTTTAAGCAACATAAAATACTTCTCAAATTTGTGCAGCACACAGCAAATGATTTGGCCAACACAATGCTACAATTGATTTGCGCAGTACAACACCACAGATGATTTGGCCAGCACATCACCACAGATGATTTGTTTATTGTTGTCATACATATAATATTTTAAGCTCCAACAATCCGATATGAAACCTGAAATTCTTGTTAATAAAATGGGATCAAATTTCTTCAGACCTCCACCAGAGAAAGCTCAGGCTCCACCAGAGAAAGCTCAGACTCCACCAGAAAAATTTAACACTCCACTAGAGAAAGCTCAGACTCCACTAGTGTCCCATAAACTTTCTCAAGATAAAACTTCTCCACAAGGTCTGTCAGATATAAGCTATTTTACTGATTCTTATGGCAAATCTTTCAAGTCAGGCTGAAGAATGCAAAAGAAAGTTTAATATAAATCTTTTAAAGATTGATGTTTATTTATAAAATGCCATAATTATTGACCTTATAATAAACAAATGTTATCTATATTTTAGTATCATCCATCTCTGTGGCACTACAGCCCATGTAGGGCTTTGGTCTGCCTCACCACATCCTTCCACTCAGACCTAACTGATGCTTTTCTTTTACATGCTTGGATTCCCAGCTGCTGTAGATTATTTTCCACATCATCCATCCATCTAAGCCTAGGTCTGCCTTTGAGCCGTTTTACTCTGGCTTATGGTGATGCACCTTCTTCACTCCTCTGACATTCTTTCTAAGTGTCCCGCCCAGAGTAGTCAGCTCTTTTATATTTCTGCTACTAGCGTGGGATCCTGATATAGACTGTACATTTCCTGGTTGGTTCGTATTCCCCATCCATATTCATCCTTTGTTAGTCCATATATTTTCCAGAGAACTTTTCTCTCCCATGTGTTTAATAGGTTTTCTGCCGTTTTTTTAAGAGTTCAAATTTTTCTTGCTTACGGTATGTTACAACTGGTCTCATAACAATTTTATACCGGTACAAATAAGTTCTTACCCTAATCCCATTGAACAAACTGTGTAAGATGTAATTTCAGCTTTCAATATATATTGCTTTAAATCTATATGTAATTTTAAATAACATCCTACCTACAATTTTTTATATATGTTTTAGATGTGCCTTCTTCTCCCATACGTCCTAAAAGACCTGGGGCAGGTCCGCCTCCTCGACCTGAAAGTGCAGCACCAATAAAAAAACAACCTAGCTTTTCCTCACAAGACAAAGAGAGTGGTCAGTCTTCCAGGTAAGAAAGAAGAGTGGTCAGTTCACCATGTAAGAAAGAAGAGTGGTCATTCCACCAGGTAAGAGGGAAGAGTGGTCAGTCCACCAGTTAAGAAAGAAGAGCGGTCACTACTGTCAGGTAAGAGCTTAAAGCTTCCAGTTTGTCTCATTTCAGTTATACTAATCCTAGTTTTAAAAAATAGTACCAACATGATTCCTTTCCCCCATTTCTCTTGTTTAGTGGTGTTGAGCTGAGAAGACCTGCCAGACCAAGTGCTGCTTCAACGCAACAACTTAAGCCAGGTCAGTACCCGTACTTACAAAAATGGGGCTGAGTTTTTTTTATCAATTTACCCAGGCGTTATTTTTAAAAAGAAAACTCAAATTAACCAAAGTCAATGCCTTATACAAATTATTGATGTTTTGGGGCCTGGTGCCTATTTTCACGATTTTTCTTTGTATTTGTTACATTATTTTACCCATTGTACATTATTATGTATCATTTTTAAAATGTATATTTCTTGTGCCCTTTGCTGAATCACCAACAAATTAATTTGATATGTGTCATAGTGTGCTGTGTCTGCAAATAACTAAGCACTTGTTCAAAACTAAATCTGTCTCTAATTCAAAGGACTGGGCTATAGGATTTTATTTTAAGTAATTGACTAATTTAAAAAAAAAATATAAATTGCAGTAGAATATTTTATTATTATTACCATAAATATGCATTAACTTGAGTAAATATTTTTTTTTTGAGTTGTTAAATTGTAATCTATTTAAAAATATGGTTGAAGGATTTATTTTTGTGTACCGTACCTACCTGGCAGAAATTTGTACCTGTAACAAACATTGCCTTATGTTTATAAATATTGTAATGATTCTTGTATTCAAGTAGGTGCCCCTACCTTAAGTAGATAAATATTGTAATGATTCTTGTGTTCATGTAGGTGCCCCTGCCTTATGTTGATAAAAATGATAATAATTCTTGTGTTCATGTAGGTGCCCCTGCCTTATGTTGATAAAAATGGTAATAATTCTTGTGCTCATGTAGGTGCCCCTGCCTTGCCTGGTCGTCCCGGTCCAGGCCATCCACTTTACCACTACATGACAAGACAGCCCCACGGTGTGGCCTTGCATGACTACAAGGCTAGTCAGCCTGATGAACTGACTTTCAAGGTAGATGGTCAGCAAAGGCTTCACAAAACAATTTCATTAGATTATAATTATATTATCATGCTTTGAAATATTTATTATTTTTTTTTTTTCAATTCTGAAATGATGAAGGTTGCAGATCTTTGGAATGAATCAAAGTAGTGCCTTCTGGTAATAAAGTTTGTGAAACACTGATTTAGGGATTTTTAAATCTAGGATATATGAGGGTTAGCTTAGTGGCTATCAAATAGTATTTCTAGTGTTTCTGAATAGATGACAGACTGATAGAACTTTTAATCAGAACCAATCTTTATCTTATTAGGAATTTTACATTTTTACCATTATATTCTTAATTTTATCTTTGCTTTTTTTTTCTCTTGTCAGAAATTCTTTCTGCCCCACCATTAATTACTGAAATTCTTTCTGCCCCACCATTAATTACTGAAATTATTTCTGCCCACCATTAATTACTGAAATTCTTTCTGCCCCACCATTAGTTACTGAAATTATTTCTGCCCCACCATTCATTACTGAAATTCTTTCTGCCCCACCATTAGTTACTGAAATTATTTCTGCCCACCATTAATTACTGAAATTATTTCTGCCCACCATTAATTACTGAAATTATTTAGGCCCCACCATTAATTACTGAAATTCTTTCTGCCCCACCATTAGTTACTGAAATTATTTCTGCCCCACCATTCATTACTGAAATTCCTTCTGCCCCACCATTAATTACTGAAATTATTTCTGTCCACCATTAATTACTGAAATTATTTCTGCCCCACCATTAATTACTGAAATTCTTTCTGCCCCACCATTAATTACTAAAATTAAGCATGCTTACTTTTAATCAGATCTAAAATAATCTTTGCCCCTACCCACTCCAGGAAGGTGACCTTGTGATTTTGTTGAGAAAAGAAAGTGATCATTGGTTAGTTGGTCAAGTGGGCAGCAAAGAAGGACTTTTCCCAGCAAACTATGTTGCTATTAAATGCCCCCTGTCAGGGGAGGTAAGTACAATGTTAGTCACACAAAGCAAATTGACCAAAACTATTATACAAAATATAAAGTATTGCATCGATTGTGTTCATGTTCTTATTGTTGAGGAACTTGCAGAAGACACCTATTTCAGTTCATTCCAAAGTCATTACTTTTTAATCCCCCCAGATCTAAAGAACATAAAAGATAAAATTTTACAAGCCTCACAATTAAGTTAATTTCAGCTTTTAAATTTATGTTCCGGTGTTCAATTTCATAGACACATGAATGAAAATAAAAAAGAGCATTTTGTTAAACTATGGAATGCTATTGTATAAAACTAGGGTAGTCAGTCTGCAAGGTTAATATACCCTGTCAGAAACATTGTGCTTTCTTTTACCCACCCAGAAAACTGATTGGAAAACTACATTAGATGCCTGGCCTATAGGCACAGATGAAGCTAGTTCTCTTGGAGAGGAAAAGCTGGATAGACTGCAGGGACCCAGATGTAGGGCGAGGTTTGACTTTGAAGGTGTGTTTTCACTTATCTTGACGCAGCTCATATGATGATGTATTTACACTTATCTTGACACAGCTAATATGAAGTGAAGGTGTGTTTTCACTTATCTTGACACAGCTCATCTGATTGTGTGTTTACACTTATCTTGACACAGCTCATATCAATGTGCGTTTACACATATCTTGACACAGCTCATATGATGATGTGTTTTCACTTATCTAGACACAGCTCATATGAAGTGAAGGTGTGTTTGCACTTATCTTGACACAGCACATATGGAAACTTCATGGTTATTATGCAATTTGTTTAATACACAGTTGGAAAGAGATAACTTCCGTGGCACTGGTTGTTTTAATGGAATTATTAGAGTAATGTTAATACCAGGACTGATTTCTAACGAAACCTATTAATATTTAGTGACCATGATAGATCATTCGTGGCAACAATCATTTCTGTGTTAGTCAGCAGTCACGATCATAGTGTTGGATGAGTCCACTGTTTGAGTTTATTGACACATTTATTTCATCCAAGGTGAGGGTGCTGGTGAGCTAGCGCTTGAAGATGGCGATGTGATAGAACTAAAAGCCAGGGTTGGTTCAGAATGGCTGCGCGGTGAACTTCGTGGCCGCCAGGGGATATTCCCATCATCGTTTGTAGAAGTCATCGAAGACCTGCCGCCAGACGACAACATTACAACGACTCATGTGTCAGCTATCTTTGATTTTGACGGTCAAGATGGAGAGCTTACATTCCAGGTTGGCTGGTTTCAGTGTAAAGTCATAATTCGTTTATTAATTTATTGTTACATTGACCTGAAATTTTCACTGGACAACGTTCTGCACAGGTTTAAGATCTCCAACTTTTTAGAGACACTCAGAATTTTTAAAATGTATTTTAAACTTCAAAGCTATCACCCAAACTATTCATTCTTACCATAGTTTAACGAACTTTTTGTGGTTTACCGTAACGCATTTACTACTTAATTAGGCACAGCAGAAAATTAGCACCACACAAAAAACTTCACAGTGACGCTGACCAAAAAACTGTCTCTCTCCTGACTCACCATATATATATATCCCCTCCCGCCAATCATCGATAATCTAATGCCTTGTTCAGTCATACCCGCAATCCTTCGGGTGAACATAACTTACTGTAACCCCACAAATAACAACAGTGATATTCATACTCTTGACCGTTAACTTTAGTCTCAGTTCAAACCATAATGTATGATCCAAGATCACTAAGAAGTAGTTAAATACCAGTAATTTAATGACAACTGTTTAAGCTTTTTAAAAAAAGAAAAAGATCATTTTGTTTTAAAAGGTAGAGTTAATTAAAATATTGTCTTCAGCTGATTGATGGTGGATTGGTTGTGGATTGATGGTGGATTGATGGTGGATTGGTGGTGGATTGATGGTGGATTGGTTGTGGATTGATGGTTGGATTGATGGTGGATTGGTGGGGGAAGTACAAGTGCCTGAGACTCAGCATCGTCCAGTTACACACGTTATTTCTACAGGCAGGGGACAGCATCAACATTTTAAGTCAAGTCAACATTGAATGGTTGTATGGTGAGTGTCACGGGAAGCGTGGGCAGTTCCCAACATCCTTTGTCTCACACATCCCCCCAAATCTACCAGAGTACAAAAAGGCACCCAAGAAACCACTGGTTGGAGCAGCCCAAGGGAAGAAACCCAGAGAGATTCAAGGGAGACAAGCTGACATTATACCACAGCCAAAGATAGATGCAGTTGTGCCAGAAACTACTCCTGAACCAGAGGCAGAAGGCCCAGTTTTTATTCTTAAGTCTAAAGAGGTTTGTATAGACTTACAAAAAAAAATAACAACCAGATTTCAATAAAAAAAACTTGATAATATGATGACATTTCTGCAGATCGCTTTGTCCACATCTCTCTATTTTATTCTAATAATTTATGTCCAGATTTTAATTATATTTTAATCTCAAAGTATTCAGCACCTACAGTTTTCCAATCTATACATCCAGTGTCTATTACATACCAATATCTAAATCATTGTACATTGTATTCTAATGTCTATCTCATAGTATAAGTATAAGTAGTTTTTATTCTAAATTTCCCCTTATTGACTTCACAGACTGTGGTTGGATACTGCCGTGGAAGATTTGATTATCTGGAGCCCCCGCTGGGTGATCTTGCTTTTAAAGCAGGGGACAGGATCGAAATTTTAGAATTTATCGGTGAGGACTGGGCTAGAGGTCGGCTTGGTAAGAAAACAGGAATGTTTCCTCTTAGCTTTGTGGCAGAGGAAGTCTTGGACCCCAGCTTTGAGGAGCCACAACCAGGTACGTTTAGTTTTAGATGGAGAATTCAAACATTTTCATTTTTTTTATATAACTATTTCACCAAGTTATACAAATTTTTGCATTTAATTTTATTTTTTTATTACTAGATCAACACGACCGAAACCAGACAAGCTAAACTATTTGACTTTTTTTTTTCCTTTCAAAATGGAAAAATCCATGACACAGTCTATCTCTACCCCATCATACAATCTTCTGTCTCAACATATGACACAATCACCTGTCTACCATCACAAAATCATGTGTCTAACCCATCACACAATTTACTTTCAGAGCCAGAAGTTAAACCCAAGGTGTATGGCAGAGTTGTACATGATTTTAATGGAGAAACTGAGAATGATCTGACAATAAAGGTTGGTGAATGTAGGATAGTAAGGGGATTGGTGAATGTAGGATAGTAAGGGGATTGGTGAATGTAGGATAGTAAGGGGATTGGTGAATGTAGGATAGTAAGGGGATCGGTGAATGTAGGATAATAAGGGGATCTGTGAATGTAGGATAGTAAGGGGATCAGTGAATGGAGGATTATAAGGAGATTGGTGAATGTAGGATAATAAGGGGATTGGTGAATGTAGGATAGTAAGGGGATAGTTAAATGTAGGATAGTAAGGGGATAGTTGAATGTAGGATAGTAAGGGGATTGGTGAATGTAGGATAGTAAGGGGATTGGTGAATGTAGGATAGTAAGGGGATTGGTGAATGTAGGATGGTAAGGGGATTGGTGAATGTAGGATAGTAAGGGGATTGGTGAATGTAGGATGATAAGGGGATTGGTGAATGTAGGATAGTAAGGGGATTGGCGAATGTAAGGATAGTAAGGGGATTGGTGAATGTAGGATAGTAAGGGGATTGGTGAATGTTTTGGGTTATTTCTCCATGGAAAATACACAACTTTAATAAGCTGTGAACTTAAAATAATAAAAACACATCTTATGTCATTTGATGAACTCTAGTGAAATCTTGTATCAAATGTTAATTTTTCAAGCAGGTCACCTGATATGACAGGTCATGTTAACTTATTCTGTTTAACTCTGTTGTTTGCTGACTGGATGATTTCATTGCAGGAAGGAGATGTGCTGGAAATGGAAGATATAGCAGACACCAAAGGAAACTGGAGATGGGGAGTGCTGAATGGCAAAAGAGGGATGTTTCCTGTGGTATTTGTTGAAGCAATGTAAATAACATTTTAAAATAGGTAATGCTGTTTCTTTAATTGGGTTTCTGAATGAGAGCAAGTGTCTTTTGATTCATCTTATGAGTAAATCTGCATTGATTCATTTGAATGCAAGTCTTTTAAATATTTTAATTTTTTTTTTTTTAAACTGAGAAGTAGATTGATATTATATAGATAGAAATCTATAAACTTCTTGTGCTAGAGAGAACATTATTTCATCTATTAAAAAGTGTTAGGGAAAGTATTACTCTGACACAATCTGTGAACAAGCATCACTTATTTAATGTTATGTCCAAACTATTATATAACATTGGTTAAAAAGGTTAGATGAGGTTTACTCAAAAAATAATGTTGCATCTGCTAAATTAATTTTAACTTTAAAATTAAAATTAAAACTTATGCTGGCAGAAAAACCATCCACTCAAACTCAAATTTGGCAGTCAAGGTCGCTGATTTTTAATTGACATATCAAAGTTATGCTACTTGCTAGAAATAAATATCTCTTCTTACTGGAGACTATCCAATCTGTTAGATGATCAGTTAAAACCTTGTCTTGTACAGGTATTCCCTTGTCTAGTTCAGTTTAGCCCTTGCCTTGCACTGGTTTTCCTTATTTAGTACAATTAAGCTGTCAGATGAAGATAATCCCTCACACCACACAAATGAAACATTTCAACTTGTTAAAGAAAGTTTAATATTTTGTACAACATACAGGCTTTGGAAAAAATGTCACTCTTTTGGAGAAGGATTTTAAGTCTCAAAAGTATATTTTATATTTTCCACCTTTTTTCCCCCCCACATTTTGTAAATAAAGTACTTTTTTACAAGTTCAAACTCAATACTAGTGCAACTCCCCCCCCCCCCGCAACCACTATTTATTTTATACCAGTGTGCCTTTTTGAGATGAAATTTGGCCTTTGAAAACATGCTTGTAAACTCAAGGTATTGTTCTTTGTTCAGGACAAATGGGGAATGTCACTCCAAAGTTGTTTCTGGGTTTAAAAACTGTATATGTGCTTTTAAAATTTATAAATATTTTAAAATGTAACAGCCTCAAAAATTAATCATAAAGCATATAATTAAAGTTTTATTACTAATTACCATTATTTTGAGGTAGGATACATAAAGATATATATAAATCTATATATATTATGTAAATTTAATTTATTATTTATATGAATGTTTTTGTTTTGTTTATTTTTGTTCTGATGAAGGCATTTGCCGAAATATTTGTATTCTGTGTAACAATTATTATAGCTTAACCTAAATTGTTTTATTTAGACAAATTGTTTGCATATCATTAATCTACTTATAGGCACAACACACTTTCTGCCAACCATCATAAAGAGAGACATGCCTTGCCATCACAAGAAGATTGAACTCAGATGACTTTTTAATGTAATTCAAATCATGCTAAATTAACAACTGCGTCTTGTTTATCATCATAACTGGCAAACTTGTTTGCTCTCTAAATCATATAAAGTATTCCTGTATAATTGTGTAAATAATATTTTGGTGTATTTTTTAAATAGCTGTCAAATAATAATGAATTTACTGTTCAGTTAATTAATTTACATATGGTAATATTTTTCCTAATATAGGAACATTTATAATAGTGTAATCTATTATTCATATCATTTTATATTTAAAGCTATGCAATGGTCTGCTGTGTACTGGGACTCATAAAACTTTAACATGAATTTCTCATGCAGACTATTTGTGTTTATTTGTGTATTTCATTTTTATTTCTTTACATTTTAAGCATGTCTCAATTTTAATTATTTAAAAGTACATTATTGAGATATAATATATGATTTAAATTGCATCCTCTGCTCAAGACACCTTATTTTAAATTTAAAAAGATTCTTGTATGGGTAATATCTATAAACTTGACACTGAGCTGTCCACTAAAAGCGTAATGTAAAGATGTAACTAGGTTGGAAATGATAATTTATATGTTGGATGTTACATTACATACTATTTGTTTTATTTTTCATAATGCAGAGAGAGAGAATTGTTTAAATATTAAGGTTACATTTGAGGCCTTACCCTTGGCTATATCATATTATGTCTGTAATTGATAATTGTCAATAATTTGATTTATTTACTGTCAACCCATCTGCTCTCTTGATTTAACTGCCAACCCATCTACTTTCCTCACTACACTTTCCCCTATTATTCTCTAAAAGGTTTCTCCATCAGCAGATCTATGTATTGATTCCCCCTCCCCCCCCACCTGTTTTATAGATGAGTTAACAGCTTTAAACAGCAAAATGATAACGATATAATTGTGTATAAGCTGTTGCACTTCCGCCTTTTACTCTACATTCTGTACTTTCAAAACTGATAAATTTTGTAGTACTATCCATTATCAACAAAATTTATTCTGTCAAAATTCGATTTGGTGCACACATCTACAATTTTTCTTAGGTACCGTACTTAACATGCTGTATTTAAGTCTGTTTCATATATTCAAGTTCAAGCAGTGTGAAGGACGGAGTGGAACAAGATGTGTTGAGGTTTGAAAAGAAAAGACATGACATTTAAAAGATAGACTGGTTCTGGTTCTAAACATTTGACTTTATTGAGATTTTCACACATGCATTTTTTATTTTTTAAGAAATCCAATGCATTCTCAAAAACTACTTTGTGAACTTTAAACTCTTGAAAAAAAAAAAGGAGGGGGGGGGGGTCGTCTAGAAAAGAAAAGACATGACATTTAAAAGATAGACTGGTTCTGGTTCTAAACATTTGACTTTATTGAGTTTTTCACACATGCATTTTTGATTTTTTAAGAAATCCAATGCATTCTCAAAAACTACTTTGTGAACTTTAAACTCTTGAAAAAAAAAAAAGGAGGGGGGGGGGTCGTCTTAGTTATCTGATTAGCGGTCACTCATTTTTTGTCTGCTGAAGAAGGCATCTAGCCGAAACATCATTGTAATTGTCCTGCCAAGCGTAGACGCAATCTTGTTCCACTATTTCTTTTATACTTCAGCTAAATATTTGAATGATATACTTTAATCCATATCTTATTCCGCACAAAAGAAAAGTGATGTCTAGCTTAAGTGTCTTAATGAAGTGTCCATGTGAGAGATCCCACAGGTGCAGAGGTAACACCGAATGCATCTCAGACAATAGGTACTGGGTTTGAGGCTTAGTGCAAACAAAATTTTTAAAGAGAGTGTAAAAGTATTTTGCTAAGTTACTTGGTGCTAAGTTACTATTGGTTTTAAAATATTACTTGTAATTTGTATGCAATCAGTTGCTTAGGGTGCATTATAAAACCCACTGCATTTGGTGAGAATCATGTGTAGTTTTCACACATTAGTCAATTATATCATGTGCTTGTTACATTTTTACCTAGGATGATGTCTTACAATTTTAAATTATTTTATTGTAGATTATTTAATCACCATTTATTGTCTTTCCTGCGTGCCTTGCAATAAAAACACAGCATTTTTGTTTGATTTTTATCTATTTTAAATACCCACTCCCCTTTTTTAAAAAGTTTTTTTTTTTAATTCAAAGGGATTTAAACGGCATAGTGGTTCAAAGATTCATAAAGGAGCTACAATAGAGAACCATAATTGTCACTTATAGTAAAATGAGAAGGCATGAACTCTGAACACCTGGCAATAAAAATAACATAGGATAACAAGGAAAAAGCAAGAAATTGATTTTTGTTAAATATTTAAGTAACTGAAATAATAAAAGAATACTTGATTTAATTAATTTTGCTTCCTGGATTAAAATATTGTAAAATGTAGCCTATGATGTATTTAACAGCATACATTTTTGGGAACTGTCAAACTTTTAGTAAATATTAAATTTTTTTTATTAGAATCTGGCTAAAATATTTTGAACATGAATAAATAACAGCTCATGTCAAGCGTAATAAAGGATTATAAAAATCAATGTCTTGAACAGCACATTGTTAGTTAAACAAAAAGACATACCTTATTAAAAAAAACTACAACAGAAAATTGTATGGATATTTTAATAATTTTTTTTTTCTTTTCATTTTTTACAAAATATATCATAAAGGCATTGGTTTCTAGTTACATCATTAAGGGTTATTACAGAATATGGGCAGAAACAATTACACTTTCCCCCCTAAAAAGAAATCCAAATGTATGTGCTATTATAAACAATAATCACTGGTCAATGAGAATAAACTTGATCTTTATGGGGTGTGAAAATCCAATAAATGGTGCTATTTGATCACACTTGTGTCAAACACTGCAAGCCAGCTACCAATCAGAGAACCTTACAAAAAATCATTGTCAGTTTTTATAGTTTAAAATGATTTGGAGATTTTCTAGGAACCAAAATCTTATGAGCTTTTTATTTTTATGAGGAACAAATAACTTATAATTATATTGTTTATCAGACACCAATTAAAACTTAGCATACTTTGCCAATAATTTTATATTTTCCTTTTCATAATCTATCTAAAGTGAATATATATATAAATATATATATATTTTAAAAAAAAAGCCACATTGGTAAAGTGTTCAAATAAGTTACATAGTTTCTTTTAAGGGTGACTATTGTTACAAATACTGCCTTGAGCATTTCAGGAATACAAAACACCGACATGAAAATACAGCATATGTGGCAGATGTCAGCTGATTCTACAATGTATGCATATGGCAGCGCCAATGTTTAAATTTTCATGAGGAATTAGCTGATCAAACAGCACTTATAGCAGGTGTCTGCAGATGACAAAACTTACAACAGTTGGTTAAAACTGGCCAAAATTATTAAAACACATCTTGGTGACAAACCAATCAATTCAATATAAGAAAGTTTTCTGATGGGTTGCCAGGTAAAGTACACTCATTGTTCAAACATATTATTAAAACAATGGCATGGGGATATTTTTAATGAAAATAAGCTCAATAATTTACAATTTATTAAGATCACCTAATCTTGAGAAAATGTGTTTATTTTCCCCCGGCCAGTAGTAAGATTGTTGAAAAATCTATAATGGGTCATTTAAATGGAGGCCCATTGCGTCAACCATCAGGTCGGCCCCACATAACAGCACAGACTTGGTGGCATCATGTGCTGTGATATGCAGGAAAATGTGTGATGGAAACAATAGATTATATTTAATTTGCATAAAATACAATGGGTTTTTTTCCTCCCCAATTCAGGGAAACAATTTAACATATCTCATGTTCAATTTTTACTCCAGTTACATCCCTTGAAATCGCATCTTTTAAATCGTTAAACCTGTGCATTGAACATTTTCAAATATGTTTATTGTACTTATAGATCAAGGCGTTCAGAGATTTCAAGAGTAAAACACCAAATTTGCAAAAGAATCATTTTTAAAAAGTTTTCTCTATATATTTTACGAGTGGCTGTCTTTTTAAATTATTTGATGTATGTTAATGATCAAACCAACATTGTAGCAATATTTTATCAATAAAAATTAAAACCACTATTGTAAACATTATGGATGTGAAAGGAGGGTCTACAAATTTGCTTACTGGCCATTTCATCAAGTTACAAGTGGATTTCACATTTAGGCTAATGCTAAATAATTAAAACATATTGTTTCATCATCTGCCAAAAACAAGTATGCCTCCTATTAAAATTAAAGAGAGTTATCAACTGAAAGAGTCCAGGGTCATTTTTAAATGTTCTTTGAAAACTGTGTAACAGCAGTGTAACAGCTTGTTTGACTTAAAGAATATTATCCATAGTAACTATCACAAAATTTAAGTTGATAATATTTAATCGATTATCAATAAGCAAGTCCACACATGAAAACTGACTCAGAAATTTCAATACAACAAGCCTTATTGTTTCTTTTTTTAATGGTGTTAAAGAAAAAAAATTATTATATTTAGATATAGAGATATGAGCCCAATACACAGCAAAAGAAATAACTAATTCACTGGAATATTTGCTAATACATCTCATGTCCCACCCAATGGTATGTGTACTATATAATCTAGTACACCTCAATCCCCACCCAACAGATATTTTACACCATGGTTGTACATACGGTGTCATTAAGCCATAAATTTAGCCTCCAAAATAGGCAAAATTTCCAGGGGGGCGGGGGGCACTTTCAACATAACAAATAAGAATAAATATTCTGTGACAGTATGGAATCCACAGCAATGAGGCTATAAATAGTATCAGTACATTATTTATAGAATAATTGGATTAAAAATAATAAAACAAATGAACATACATTTGCTTCTTTCTAAAAATTGAGTATTAGTTTATCATATGTTTTTGTTCTGTTCTCTCAATCTCTCACTTGTGCCTATTCACATGGGATTATGTAAACATTAGCCACACATTTCATACAATCTAAAAACTTCATCAGTTACCCAAAAACACTTGCATAGAATCAACTTCGCATCATCCCAATGTACAGGTTAAATGCTACATTATAAATAACAAATATGCATAGGAATAACAAAAGTGGGAGAGTTACCATGCGCACACAGACATCAAATTTCTCACATTGTCCACATCAAACAAGGACACACACAAAATGAAAATAATTATCTTTCTCTACCAAAACAATATGTTTTTTTACAATTGCCTATAGCAATAACATTTCAGTATTTTCTGGGAGAAATTAATATTCTTTATATACACCCAGTCCTTGAAACCACAGTAACCTACTTTTGTATATATAAGAATTAATGACAGATTACTTATTCATTAACTAATTCTAGTTGCAAGTCAGTTAGCCCAAAAAGTGCTTGAAATTTTTTTTAAAGGTTGAAAATATCCAGGTCTTTTGTAATAGAGATTGCAAATTGACTTTCATTACATTAATTATATTTGACCTAATTAATGAAGAATTTAAACATACAATTCTATATGTAGCCAACAATAAAATTTACATCTGTGACTAATGGTGAAGTTCAAAACTTAATATTTACATTAAAAAATAAACAAAGCATCTATCCAGATGTCTTAAAACACATTTGTCATTACTGGGGTTTTAACAAGAAACTAAAATTGCACCCAAGCCCCTATCTGAATGCACACAACTCATTTAATTTAATATATAAATATGTAATCTAAAATGTTAATGAGAATGGGTTGAGTGACACAAACTGACCATATGGAGAAAAATGCTACATCAACATATCAACAACTGTAAAAATTATGGGTTATAATTTTGTCCAGCAAAATCATAATGGCAACATGACTAATGGGTAACAGGTATATTTAGTAGATTTATAGTTCATGTATTTATATATATCTAAGTATGTATGTACACAAATGACACTAAAGCAGTTAAATATGTACACAAGATTACCTGTGTTTTTGACAAATACAGTACACATAATAAAATAGCTAATATTTATGTACATTTGATAAGAGTATATATAAATATACACAAACAAGTAACATGAGGGTACCAATGGTAATATTATCAACACAAAAAACAAGAGAATCTGTGATTACAGGCATGTTATTCTCTTTTTCAAAAAAAAAGATTTGAGTTGTGATTGTGAAGGAAGCTCTCATTTAGATCAAGAGCTTTGATAATGATCACACAACAGTATGGGTGAATAAAAGAAAAGGCACTCAATGTGTAATGTTATTTCAGCCATGATATCTTTGAAATCAACAATTGTTATCATTTATCCTTATTAAGGTTTTTTTTTTCTTCACTAAAACTGAAAGGCAATTTAAAAAAAAAGAAAAAAAAAAAAAAAAGTAAACAAGATCAAAAAAAAAAACAAAAAAAAGAAATAAAACAAAATAAACAAAAAAAATAAAAGCAATTTAAAAAAAAAAAAAAAAAAAAAAAAAGAGTAAAACTGCTCAATGCAAAAAACTAAATGATGGAATCAAACAACATGAGCTTTTAAAATGATTAATACAAAACAATCTCCATTAGATATCCAATAAAAGAATTATATGGAGGTGTATTATTAACAGACATCAACAGCACATTAAAAATAACAACAGTGCTATGCTTGTAGCAGTTTGCACTTCATCGAATTTGTTTAGACAGGTTTTATCTTTCATGGATAAATTAGAGATCTAGTCTGTCATTATGTATTGAAAAGCCACCCAGTACTATAGAATTTTACCCTATGATGGTTTTGGAACCAATACTTATACTATATATAATTTTTTATAACATTTCTTAGCACTCTGCAGTTCACATAACATTTTGGGTTAATTATAACATTATAAATGGATGACACACTAAACTTTTGAAAATATTGTGGCACACAGATTATTTTTCCCACTTAAGTCATAAATCATTAAGAAAAAATAACTTAGGCCTAAGCTCTGCACTGAAATCAAGACCCTTGTATTTTATAATATGCTGACAGTTTTTAAAAGTTATAACAATTTTCATAAAAGGCTTTAATGAACTTTTTAAGTATTTAAAAACACACCCAGATCTAACCTTTCAACAACAACAAAATAAATAAATAAAAAAGGAAGGTGTTGATTTGATCATATTGTTTTGACACATTGTCATTGAATTTTTTAAAGATTTGAAACATTAGAAGTACAGGTACTTAAAATTAAACCTGTTAGTATTAGATTTTTTATATTTTTTATAATCATATTTTTGCCGGCGACTGAATTCCATATTTTTAATAGTTGCTGCAGCTACATGAATAATCTTTGCAATTTAATTTTATTTTTAAAAAATTTTTTTCTAGCTATGGTTTTTAAAAAAAAGGTTGTAAATGCACATACCTTATTTTTCTGCAAGAATGCCGACTAACTCATGGAGTAGTCAGCTGGCAAAACATTGTACAACTTGTACTAATAATCCTTAGAGTAAACAGTCCAAGAACATATGATTTGATTCTAGAAAATAACTTATGGCTTCAATCCTCCAAATCATTTCCTGCGTGTTTCAGTGTTAAAGGATTGTGTGGAGATGAGATGAACCTATACAACACCTGTATGTCAGATCTGAGTGGTGGTTGGTGACTGGTCACTTCATCAAGCCTTGACATTCATAGGTTTAGGATTCAATAGTTACCACATTCAGGGTAATATCCACTAAGCTGCAACCAGTCATATAAAGATGTTTTGATTCTCTCCCCATTTTGTATAAGGTCTCTAAACTTCCTCTCCAACACGACTGTCCAGGAAAAATGCAGCCTTGGCCCTATCACTGGCCGATGAACTGGATCTACTCAAGCTGGCACTTCCACTGGCCAACATTTCCAAAAACAAACTGTTATTCTCACTTGAATTTTGATTAAAAGATAGGGTCTGAGGCAAGCTTTTTTTGCTCTCATTGTTCACTGGTGATGATGGTGCCACCAAGGAAATGTTTGTAACATTGGATAACCGGGAAGAGGCTCTAATGGTGGATAAAGATATACTATCTTTCTGGTCATGAAACATTTGATTATTGTCCATTCCATTCAGGCTTTGTACACCGGTTAGTTGAGAAGAGTTCTCTCCAGGTTGTGGTAGGGACGATGATAAAGAATAGGAAAGAGTTGAGTTGGATGATGTTGGCTTGCTATGTGCCAGATGGCTCAGGGAGGATGAAGATGATGCCCTGGAGGTCAATGAAGAGGATGCTTGTGAGAGTCTCTCCTCTCTGGCATCACCTCGAGATAACTGATGGGACAATGAACTTGTCTTGAGGACCTCCGATGGTATCACAGGTACATCCATGTTAGTATTGGTAAAAAATGCCATCTTTTCCCTGAGGAAAAAAAAATGGCTATCGTTATTTTCCACTTTTAGATTAAGTAAAATAAAGCAAATTAAAATCAAGTGGAGATGAAACTAACCTAAAATTAAATGTCCTTGACTGCTGAGTGCCTTGACGCATTCTCTGCACATCTTTGGTGACTTTCCTCATCAGATGCTCCGCCCTCTTGTCTTGTTTAGACACATATTCTTTCTTTTCAGCTGATGACGACTGATTAGAAAGAATGTTAGAAATTTAACATAATGTATCCATTTCTTATACAATTTTTTTAATAACTGCAGTTAACAGCTTTAGAAAAAAAATGTTGTTTAATGACACAATATAATAAATATTCAGCAAACTCTTCAACAGACTTTGAACAATAAAAAGCATGTTCATTGGTACAAACAAAAGGACGTTACTAATGAGACCAACTTTACAAGTCACACAATTCTTTTCAATTTATTTTATTTTGCTACTAAAAACAGGAGAAGCATAAAAGACAAGTATTATATAGAACAACATTTCAATCACTGGTATATGAAAACATGCTTTTAGTTTTCATAGTTATGTTGCCAGTACATGCCATTATTCTTGCCTTGTTACTTCCAAAGGGCTTTTTAGCAACATTCTAACTTTGCTATTTCAGTCATATTGAATAAACATATGTCTGTAGTGCAAAAGTCAGAACACATATGCACTATATTTTTTTTTCAACAGAAAATCATACTTCCTTTAATGATAATTTTAAAAAATTAATAAAATACAAATTACAGTCAAATCTAACCATCGTTTGCATAATTTTATAAAGACATTCAGATTATGCAGAGTCAATAAATATGCATGTGTGATGGGGGTCTAAAAACACATGCACATACAAGCTTATTTTGCATCCATTTCAAGTTTTCGGCCCTGTGTACATAATTTATAGGCTATTGCTAGGTTTCCTTTCATCTACTTCCACTAAATATTGAACCTAACAGAGCAAAACTTTGTTAAATCTCAGCTAAAAACACTGTAAGAGCTCAGAGCAAACAGAAAAGCATTCAAATCTTACATTTCTGGACTGAAGATAGTTTGCCTAGAGAAATCAGAACAGGTCATTTTTCAAAATTCATTTTAATTTCTATATGATAATAGTAAATCAATATGTTTCTAATGTACTAGAAATTTAAAAAGTAAAAATTCCTTTAAAAAAAAGTTACATACCAGTTTCTCAGCCATAGACAGAAGACGGTGAAATTTTTCATTCTCTGACAGCCATTCAGGTAACTCCCACTCTCCTAAAAAGAAAATGCCTAAAATTTTTAAAATTTTAATTGCCCCTCTTATTATTTTATTAGATTTCCAGATTTTGTTTATTAGAAGAATTGAATAACTAGCAATGATTCCAGGGCTTCACAATTGCTTACAGTTTCAATTTTCGGGCATGTAAACTTTTTCTCTTATATATATATATATATATATATATATATATATATATAGAGAGAGAGAGGTTAGTTTGATAATATAATTCATGAGTATATCTTGTCTCATCGCCCATCGTAATGCACTTTCATTGGCTGCTTCCCTGGCCGTGTGATTAATCACCTACACACCTAATGCATCTATATAGAATCAATAGAACTAGCATTGGTGGATATATGGAATGCCATCAGGAATTATTATAGATTATGCATCTCTTTTCTATCTTGCCCCAACTAGTCATATTTATAATAATAATTCTAGAGTGGATCTTTCTTGTCCGCCCTGCTCTCATTGCAAAACATGATGGGCTCTAATTCGCCGCTTCCCTGTTGTGGGCTTGGTCATCAACGCACCAAATGCACACAAAAGAACATGTTACCCACCATGCTCCTAAAAGAAAGGCAAATAAACATACTGAGGAGAGAGATGAAAGGGTTTTGAGCAGTCACAGGGTATTCACGGGTATAATGGTACTGGCATCATTATTATTCGTTATGATCCTCTTCCCATATTTTATATGCTCGACATGGTTGCTTTGCCTCAGCTTGTATATTTATAAAAGCCAAATACCACTCACTGATCACAAGATCACAAGGACAACAAGCTCTGTGAAGATGATTTTTCCATGGAGTTTCCTCTTATACTTTAGGCATGAACTGACAACTTTTTTTTTTCAAATTCAGCTATTAAGTGGATAAAAATGACCAAAATCCAAAACATATATAAAGCTATTTTTTTCGTATAGCATTCCTGGTTTATGTTTTTGTATCATGTAATGTATTTTAACATGCGTCATTATATTTTTGTGAATGGTGCACATCCAAAAAGTATATTTTTTATTTAAGTTCTTAAACCATGCATCTAGGGTTAATTATCACGATAAGATTTAGATACTTTTATCTTATGGAGGAGATTAATACGCTACTAGCAACTGACTTCAGGCAGACACTATCCGCATTTTTTGGGGAATGTCTGCTGATGAGGTCAAAGCCTGTCTCAAGTCATTCCACCTATGGCCTAAATTCCAAGTCCGATCCTTGCAAGTCAACAAGAGAGTTAATCTCAAAAGTGATCTAAGGGCAGAGGAGTCTCAAGCATCAGCTTCCACCAACATGATCCAAATTCCTACCAAATCATGGAAAGGCAAGACCAAGAAAACTACGTTACTGTATTTGTAACTACCTCAATCATCATAGCGAAGCACGGGTATTCCTAGTATAACATATTAGATGAGTTATCTGGACAATGTCAATAAAATTACCTTTGTTCTTTGATTCCTCTAACATTCTTTTCAGGTCTTTTAATCGTGTGATCTCATCATTTAGGTGAGACAATCTTGTGTGCGAGGCTTGAAGGTCAAGTTCAAGGTCCAGGGAGGTACGGAACGGTAACTGACTTGATAATGGCATCATAGATATTGAGCCATCAGCCTACATAGAGATAATCATGAAATAATCATTAAATTTTTCTGTTAACACATGAATGAGCCCCATCACCAGACCAGAAGATGCACAGAGACCCAAGCTTAGTGTGTTTCTAAAATATTATTTTTAAGTTTTAATTCTGTTCAAAATCCAAACAAATGTCCTTATTTTAAAGCTAGAAGTGAAAAAGCTTTTATGTCTATGCAAAATAATATTTGGTTTGTTAGCCACTTGAATATATAACCAAGAATTTATTTTAATTCAAATAGTGACTAATTATTAGTAAATGCTTAGCTTAATAATCAAATTCCATTGTAATTAACCTATGATATTTGTTTGGTCTAGTAACCAATGACATTAATTTATGGTTATGGTACATATGAATTGTTATTCATTATACTGTGTAAAAAAAAATCAAGTCAAATTTCTAAATCCATATTATACAGAAAAACAGCAATGAAATTTATTCAGTTGTATTGTGAATTTAATTTGGCTGTGTATTAGTTAATGTGTTAATTTGACTGTTACTTTATAAGATTTGAAGCACAAATTATTCTTTACTGTACTTCACAATGTTAGATGGTAGACTTCAGTAGATAAAATAGGTACAAAACCAAAGCACTGGCGAAATAATACAACATCAACATAAGAAGTTTTTATTTAGTTCTAAAACATTACTCATTAGGATGTGGTTCATTTAGTCAAGGTAAATTTAATTAGCTCCATTGTAAACCTTTCAAGAATAAACTAACATACCCGTTTCCAGCGCAGGCTCCTCCTACTGACTGTATTTCTCTGGAAGGGTGTCCTCTTGTACAATGGCATAGAGCTGTCACTGTCACTACGGTTTAACTGTTCATGAAAAAAAACAGTAAAGCCCATTCATTTAGCCAGCTTACCCATTTCACATGGTCATCATCCAAAACAATTGTAGGTTATGTCTGCTTGCGTTTTGATGTGTTTGATAACTGACATAACCTCCTATAACTAGCAAACTAGTCAGTTTTATTCAAGAGTGTTTTCTCTTTAAATTTTGCATACAAGTGTATTTTTACATTTTTATTTTAAAAAATTTATGAAAATGTTTAAAAAAATATTTCATTGACAACAAACATATAAATTAATGACTTTTCATTGAACAATCTAAACATTTATTATATAATTAATTACACATATGATTAATTGAAATATGCTTCCACAAATTATAAGGTATTTAGAGACTGGTTCAGGGGGTTGAAAACACCAGAGCCTTTATTTTAACTGTTCTATCGCCAAGTGGATGATTTGCTCAATTATTTTACCTCATTAAGCATATTCTCTCAAGGGATAAAAAGCATTTTGCTTTTTTAGGACTTACAGGCATTTCCTTTCTGAAGGCGGCCACTCTGAATCATCTCAAAACTTGCCCCGGGAGCTTACAGGTGGGTTATCATATACACCTTAATTTTGCAAAGTTTATTTCAAATATTCAGATGTATTAAACCCTGAGGCCAGAGAGACAAATATAATATTTGTGAATCAAACCTTTTTCTACTCCAACAAGTTAATCATTCACATGGCTTCCTGGCTAAATAAGTCTGGGGAGGATCCAGCTGTGTGGATCCTGTATTTCTCAAAAAATTATTACAAAAGTGGATTTAAAAGAATACCTTAAAAAAAAAGTCAACAACTCACTTTACACACATAACCAGGGGGAGGTTGTCGACAGGCTGGGGAAAAAGTCTGAGAGCGCCTGATGGTGCTGCTACGCAAAGTGCTTGAGTGTCGCTGTGGTTGTTGATGGTGATGCGTGGTTCTGTGTTTGATCTCTCTCAGCCTGTAATCTCCAAGCTCGGTGTTTGTCTCCTTGTCACACTTGCAGTTGAGCAGCCCATCCTCTGATTCCAGGAACTCATCATCATCAAAATTATCCACTGACTCAGCCAACTCATTAAGTACTTTCTGGATCATCTCTGCATAGTCTTCATCCTAATATTGGAAAAGAACAAAAAATATGAACAAGTCATATTGTGTCAAAAAGGAGTGTACATACAGTATTTATTGGCGTATAAGATGCATATTTTCTCCCCGAAAATCATGTGTGCGTGTTATACGCCGATATAATGTTTAGTTTTTTTCCCCTGAAATTTCCTTCTTAAATTGAGGTGCGTGTTATACCCGGGGGCGTGTTATACGGCAATAAATACGGTACTTTTTAAAAAAAAGTTAATGAGTTAAATTAGAATTTCCCTTCTTAAAATGACTTCATCTTGCCAGTTTAAAAAAAAAAAAAAAGCACAATCACTTCTCTCTATTGAATTACATGTGAATAAATTAATAAATAGAATGCTAGAATTAATTGTTTATAATTATGTGAAGTCTAACCTTTTCGTCATCATCGTCTTCATCATCTTCTGGGTCATCCTGGACCTGTGCACCATCAAAACTGTGGCTTTTCATTTCCTCTGGACCTGCAAGCATTGGGGATTTTATTTAAAGCAATGAACATGGGTTCATTGTTTTCTCACTTAATTATTTGATTAATACTCCTGTCATCCCCATCAACATGCACTACCAAAGAAGTGATCACATTTGATTATGACTGACTTATTCTCAGCTATCAAGTCTCCTTTACAACAAACACAAGTCAGTAAATCTGTCAAATTACCATGATTCCTGGTGAGTGTGGATGTCTGGGAAGATATAATAGTGGACTCGTCACTGCTCTCCTCCTTCACAGACAAAACAACTGGATGAGCTGAGAATCTGGCACCAATACAAGATATAGATTAATACAAAAACTATGGACAGGTTTTCTGGTTCTTAGAATAAAGTAGAATAACTGAGTCGGGTGCATGAAAGATAAAAAATAAGACTATGGTGTGCAATTTTCACAAGATAAAATGCATTTTAACACTTAAGATCCACATCCATATATAAGGTAGTGACAATAATTTGCTTTATCAATTCTGAGCACAGTAATCAAATTTGGAAACAACTCCTTTAAGTTAAAGAGTTGGCCAACAAGAATGTTATTACTCTTTAATATTCAGTAAAACATAATTTTGGCAAAATGCCTATTCTGACAAATCTCCATCAGCTAAATGTAGCCAAAGTACTTGCAAAACTAATTAATTAAGGCACTCACCTGCGACCTGAGGCAGAGTCAGTCCCAGAAGATTGGTCATCACTTACTGAAACAACCTGCCTTAACTTGGCAGAGGAGGCTTCAAGAAGTTGATCAACTCTGTCTTGTGACTGTTTCTACCATGAAAATATTTTGAATTAACATTATCAACAGAAGAAAACCCAATATATAATATGTAGGAAGATATTTATAATAAATTCAAGTTCTGTATGTAGACTATTATTTTTTTTTCTTCAAATTTTAAATGACAATTGAAAAATTTCAGCATGGTGATAAAAATTTAAGGATGGGTGCCAACTATTCTGTGGTTTCAAAAAAAGATGCTGAGCTACTGCTTACTCACACATCAGATTAATTTTGATCCAGAATTTGAGACACTGAAATTTCAATGTCATCTTCCTTAATGCAAATGTTCAAACTCAGAGTCTCTCAATAGAATGATGAGTTGAGGTTTTACATGACTTATTAACTTAATAGGTATACCTCTTTGGCTTTATTGACAGCAGCTTTAGGCTCTTCAGAGCTGCTACTGGACGATGGCTGGGACTGAGCACTGGACAGCTTATTGGAAACGGGTGTTCCTTGACTCTTAAGATCCGACTGCATAAAACGGAAGCTCAACACATTGTACCACCGCACAGAGACAGACTTGGGGTCAAAATCAGCCAGACTGACCTGAGCACATCCCTGTAACAAAACAAATGTCTTATTTTAAGTCAAGAAAAATCAACAACAGCTGATTATTACAAACACTAACGTAAGTAATAATTTTGTCTGATATTTCTTTAAAAACCTCCACCTACCAAGCATTCTTCTTTCCTCTCAAGGCTTAAACTCCAGACATGAACTTGCAGGGTCTTAGAGTACAACTTATGTTCAGGAATGCTGACACGAAACATCTCAGAAAACTTGGGGGACTTGAGATCTGACACAGGTTTTGTTTCTAGGCATACATTTTGATTGGGAAGAAGTGCTGCTTTGATGCATCTGTAGAGAAAATATAACAAGCTTGGTCACCAAAGTCATTCGGTCAAACAAAAACCAACTTAAAAAAAGGAGCAAAATATAGAATTTTACATAATCAATAAGCTAATGAAGTTATCAAGTAACCAGGAAAAAAATACCCTGCTGCAACTATTAATATTAATGTACTGGCTTGAAATTTATAGCTACTTTAATTTGAGCAGGGTCATGGAATGAGTATTTGTTTAAATCATAGTCTTCAGGGTTGCCAAATCAGGAAAATAACATTAAAAATATTTTATTTTTTTAAAGACACAATTTAAAAAATAATTTTTTTAAACCTTGGTATCAAAAATGATTAAAACATCAATGACTATCGCTACATAGTATAGAACTACATACTTGTATGTTCTATGATATGATGCAAAATCCTATATGTAGCGTTAGTTCTCATCAGTGTTTAAATTCTCCCCAAGATGGTCATATTATTTTAATCCAGAAAGAGGCCCCACAAAAAAAAAAAAAAAAAAAAAAAAAAAAAAAAAAAAAAAAAAAAAAATCACAAATGCTGAGAATTCCAATTTTGGTTTTGCTTCAAAAGCCTTAAGGTTTATTCATGATATTTTTTATAAGACATCCTAAGTTTTTCCACACTTTACTTACACACTACTGTCTTTATGAAAAGGTAATACAGACAAGTTTCTTGCTTGTTCTATGCTAATAACGAGCTGGCGTTCCAAACCTTCATACCTAATAGGGAGATGAAAAGCATAAACGGGTATAAAAAAATGAATATAATAATGACTGAAAAATATTTAAAAATTGAGACTGAACAATTTTTTTTTTTAAATTAATATTCTCACCATGCCAGATGACGAGCCAAGTCATTTTTATTATATGTTTTTTTAAAAATTAAATAAAAATAATATATTTAATTTAAATAAACTATAAGCTGTTTCAATGAGGCTGATATGAAATACAGTGGAACCTCTCATAACAAGCACCTCTCATAACGAGTAATTCGCATAACGAGCAAAAAAAATGTGAAGAAGTTGCTCCCTTAACGAGCGATATTTCGCATAACGAGTTACACAGAAAGGGGAAGTCCCTTTTTCTGACATTCATTTGTGAGCCCGGGCTTCCGCGTCGATGCATTAGTACAGCGGTTCTCAATCTGTGTGTCGTGACCCGTTTGGGAGGTAGCACGGCCCTTTCCCAGGGCTCGCCTAAGACTATCTGAAAACACATATTCTTACAGCTATGAAGTAGCAACGAAAATAATTAGGTTGCTGGGGGGTCGTCAAGACACGAGAAACTGTATTAAAGGGTCGCGGCACTAGGAAGGTTGAGAACCATTGCATTAGCCTGTGTTTAGCACTCGGCCTGTTAGCTTGTTGTTTTCGTGTGTGATCACCAGTTTTTACAAATTTTGTATTCAGTATTCAGACAGTATTCGTAATTTTTTTATGTGCAAAGTGTAATAACCTATGCTAAAATGTCTTCGAAAAAAACAACGCAAGAAGACAATCATAAAAGAGAAAAAATAACTGTTGAAATGAAACGTAAAATAATTGAAAAGCGAGAACAAGGTGTGAGCGTGGCTATTCGTGCTACAAATTTATTCAATAATAATGCTGTGAAACATTTTCGTCAAATTTTGAAGCGTCGGCAAAAACAAATGTCTTTACACAGTTTTCTAGTTAAAAAGGATTAATTATTTGTTATAAATTCATATTTTTATTTACGTTTTTTGTTTCAAATCTAAATTGTTTTTTTATCAAGTTGTTACACTCCTTAACAATTCATAAGTAATTTTATTTGAATAAATGTTGATCAAAATTTTTGAAAAATTCGTATTTTTTCAGCAGGGAACGCATTATCGTATTTTACATTGATTTGTATGGGAAAAATTGTTTCGTTTAACGAGGGTTTCGCTTAACGAGTAAGAGTCTGGAACGAATTAAACTAGTTATGAGAGGTTCCACTGTATCTCCAATCCATTCTCATCTCATAAAGCAAATGAACCTCACAAAGTAAATGAGAAACTTACTTTAATTTTATTTGTATTTGAGCACTCTCCATATTGCTATCCAATACTTTATCGATGTAACCCGTCCTGGAAGTAGATTTCAAATTATTGAAATTTTTTTAAAAATATTTCCTTTCATACATTGTTCTTTTTTTTTTTATGGAACTTTAAGAGATGGTGTCAGAAACTGTGCACTTTTTAATTTTATAGAAATATGCAATTCATTAAAAGCAAGTTTTCAACATATTTCTAATCATATCATGAATAATTAAGATGTAGCTGGGCGCTGTCCATGACTGGTCAGGGGTAGATAGAACTTGGGTGGGTGAGGTGAAGCTATTTACAAATTGTTGTTTTTAAATGTATAATTTTCTGTAATTGCTAATTTTTATTTGAAGCACAGTGAGCCTAGCCCTGGACTGGGGTACTGCGCTATATAAAACCACCTTCATAATAATAATAATAATTAATTTGAAAAAAAGCATAACTCGGGTATAAAAAGTAAGCACTCGAGTGAGTTATTTCCCTTAGCAAAACTTGGGGGGGGGGGGAATAAGTTGCTATATGGTAGTACAAACCATTACAGTGAGTGTATTATCAACGTAAGTTAACCTTTACCAGCATAATATCAAGTGAAAAACTAATACAAATTAATCCAAAGAGATAAAAATAAGATAATAGGTAATATAACATTTTTTGAAACAATAAAGTAAAGCAGTAAAATTGAACATAAAAAATGTTTAAAGAAACTACTGACCTGCTAACGGCAGCTTCAAACACTCCACTATCCCCTGCCACTGACTCATCACTAACAGCAGCAGAGACACTCCTTGTGTTTCCACCTGACAGGTTATTACCTACACCAGAGCTACTCTCACTGATTGGACTAAGTGGCGGGTTACCAATGGAATCCAGGTTGGGCGTGTGACGAGAACTGTAAGGAGGGGGTGGGGTGCTATTATAAGTATGAGCAATTCCTTCTCCACCATTGGTCTGTAAAGATTTTGGAATCTGACTTTGAGTAAAAACTGTAGCAATTGGTGGCGGTGACATCTGTTGCATATGACTTTCACTGACAGCGTCACAGTTTAAGTTTGCTTCTTTTGAGGACTTAGATGAGGAACTTATTGTATCTTCCAGTAATGAATTAGGATATCCAGAGGAAATATCTTTTAATGAAGAGATGGGGACAATTGCATGTAAGTGATTTAATCCATCATCCTTATTTGCAATACTGAGCTCATTACCAGCTTGAGGAGTAAAATCTGTCAAATTTAATTGATCAGCGCCTGGAAGAACTGTTGAGCTTGCACCCAACTGCCAAAGGACATTATCTGTGACCATGGTTGGGATGTTGTTATTTAGACTTCCAGTACTACCCCCTGGTGTCAACTGATGCATCTGGTGTTGATGCTGCAGCAGTTGTTGAAATGGAACATGCCGCTGCTCCAATGCACTCATATGCTGTTCATAGCTGGGCGGAGGGCCAAATCCATATATGGGGGAGACAGGTGGTGAAGCTGAGGAAGTTGTTAGCGACGACTTTGAAGATAAGGACAACACTGAAGCTTGTTTGGGTAGTGCAGCAAGTATGTTGCTGTTGCTGTTAAGTAGGCTGGGTGTGACTCCCAAGCTATTACCAAGTATATTGTTGTTAGTTGTATCACTCAGCTCCTGACTACCAGACATCACTGATTGCATGTAATTTGAAGTGGCTGCTTCTGTTACATCATCATGTGGTAGAACAGAGTGGGCCTCTTGTATAGGAGACATGCTGTGTCCTTAACCAGAAGAGAAATAAACTTCTTAATACCAAAAAATAACCTTTCCAAAATGGTAAAATATGTATGATATATGACGTGTAAGTAAAAAAAAAAAAAAAAAAAAAAAAAAAAAAAAAAAAAAAAAAAAAAAAAAAAAAAAAAAAAAAAAAAAAAAAAAAAAAAACAATTTTTAAAACCAAAAAAAAACCTTTCCAAAAAAGAAAAAAAAGTATGAAATAAAAAGTGTAAAAAAAAAAAAAAAAAAAAAAAAAAAAGCCACTTCACATAAAAGTCTCAGTCTACCTTGTAACAATTTCTCCACCCTCTGGTGTAGTTCCTGAAGATTCACTTCTCCTACTGACCCAGCTTTCTGGGCAGCACTGTAAATATCCATGGTGGATAATGAATTTAGTGAGCCACGACTACCGGCAGATAAAGAGCCCAAAGAGCCAAGGCTGGACCCTGATGATACCGACAAGGTGCTTAATGACAGGCTGGAATAAAATAGTGGGAAAATTTTTAATAAAAACAAAACTTGCACCAAGTTGCTGTTATCTAATTAGAAGGGTTTAAAATAACTGAATTTAAGTTAGACTTTTACAGAAATAACAGAAAATAGTGTGAAATGAGAACCTTGGTCTGCCCAGACAGGCACTATTGCAGTCGCCCCTGGATATAGTGTTTCAATTCCCTTTCATTATATGTTAGGAGGGGTCACCTAACCAAAACAGCTTAAAGGAAACTTAAAAGGATGAAATGTATATTTTTGTGGGCATGCACTTTTACTTACCCAGAGAGTTGTGTGCTATTTAGATTGTGATGGATGGAACAATATTTCATTCTATTATTCTTTAAAATTCTTCAGTACATTTTTTAACACTATGAAAAATTTCTACAGGACGATTCCAGCAGTCCACAAGGTTGCAATTTTGGTAAACTTTTCTATTCTGCAGAATTACTTCATCTTTAGGGAGGGGCTTCCAAAACTCCATTCCCAACTTACCTTCTAAGCTGGGACTCAAGATATGATGTAAGTTTGGCTGTCTCTGCCAACTGATGTAGAATAGTAGATTTTTCATCATGGAGAGTAATCCTGTGGTAGAAGATAAATTTAATATTTACACTATTTATGAGGGTGGGTAGCTAGTATGGTGCTAAGATAATTGTGTATTTGTGTTAGTTATGAGTGAATTGTTGAGTGAAATGAAACACTTTGGATGCTTGATTTCCAAAGATGGGCAACTTCTGACAGTAACAGCAATGACATTTAATTTGGGATATGATCCATAAAAAGACAAATATATCTAAAATGTACAAATAAAATATGATGCTTTATTAGAGACAAAATACACTATTGTTTCTAATAATTTTACAAAGACAAACACGTTGCATTACAGTAATGGTTCTGATTAAACTGACAGAACATACTGACCTCTGCTCTATTTGCTTGTTGGAGATGACTTGAGCGTGCCTTAGGTCATATTCAAGCTTACTAATTCTTTTTCTAACTGAGCTCATGTCATCATCACTACGACCTTTTGGGTCTATGCTACGCAGTTCTCGTAAAAGCTGCTCTTTCTCCTGTAGCAAAAGCAACCTATTGCGACGTAGAAAAACAATCTTATTTCTTTTATTAACATTTGACAATAAAAACTTTTAAAATAATTTATGAGTTTATTTCTGTTCAGGTAGAATAATGTGTTGAGAGGATTATAATATATGTACTTGATTCAAGATGAATGTAAGTACATTTACATAATGGCTTAAATGTAAGTGTCCACTATTCTAAAAAAAATAATAATTTTGAACTACAATTTACTTTTTCCAATTTAACCATGAAAATCCATTGCTAATGAGCACTTGGTGCTTTAAAAAAAAATGTAAAATGATTTTTGAAAGAGTTACCTGTCCCTGTCTGACTCTGATTGGCCTGGCAACATTTTGTCCTCAATGTTGGCCAAGCGAAACTTGAGCTCTCCCAGTTTTTTCTGTGCCTCATCATATTGTAGTCGTATTCTAGTCTTCTCTGCTAGAAGCCGGCTCTGGTTCACACCAAACTAAATGGAAATAATTAATTAATTACCACATTTCTGTATAATAAAGGACTAACTTGGCAGTATAATATTTGATTCAAATAAAGAATGCTCAAGAAAAAACTGCACCACATGTGTTCATCTAGGATCAAGCGGACATTTGTAACCTTATAGGTGAAGATCAAAATGATACATTTTTGTTATTGCTTTTATGAATGGACATAACCATGATACAATCAAAGTAAATAAAGTGTGTTGAAATATAATGACAAATCTGCTTGTGAATGGATTTGTATTAATATATTCACCAACATGGATGAACTCTATTATACAATTTACTAAATTCTTCATTAACAGACATAAAAATATAACCTTATATGTATAACCTCAAAGATTTAAAAAAACATTTTTGTGAAATTTCAATGAATTAACATGACATTACCACATAAAGGAAAATTATCTTTCATACTACTGGTAATCTTCAAGTGTGTAGGCAGTTTGAGATGTGTCAAATAAGCTTTTAAAATGTACCTCTCCCCTTAGGTCAGTTTGTGAGGCCATGTCCAGTCTGTCCTGAGCCAGGGAAAGCATGGAGACATCAGGTGAGGAACCATTGGTCCTTCTCATCAACTCCTCCTTTAATCTTGCTAAAGACTGCAACAAGAAAACATTTTGTCTTACATTAAAAAAATTACAAATTTTGAGCCCAGTTGCACAACAGCATTCAAATTGTATTTTTCCTGTCAGTCTAGGCCAGTGGTTCTCAACCTGTGGGTAGCAACCCTTTTGGGGGTAGAAAAACCCTTACACAGGGGTCACCTAAGACCATTGGGAAACATATATTTATAAAGTAACAACAAAAGTAGTTTTATGGTTGGGGGGTCACCACAACATGAGGTTGAGAACCAATGATCCTGGCCATTAATTCTCCTATTTACATAATTTCTAACAACACATGTCCTATTCACAAACAGTTTATGATACAAGGATCTTGCCATGTGTGGTGTAATATTTCTGTATATTCAACTCAGGGAAGTAAAAACTATACTACTGCTTAATCTTAGATAATCCCAGATTACAAGATTAAAACTGTTATGCATACTTAGAATTCTTGATACTGATATTTGGCAAAACAAAATGAGCCTATTATTAGAATGTGTATTTATTCACTATCTTTTTTTACATTTAATTTAAAATACACAATTATTGTCACTGAAAAAAATTGTGTCACAGAATTTTTGTTTAAAAAGTCAGTGTGTTACAGATAGAAAATGTTTGAAAAGTAATGTTGAATAAATAATTGTGTGATTTTTGCCACCCACCCTCTAGACCTTTGTTTTTACACCATGCCCATAAATCAGAGAACCTAAAAGGTTGTAGTGGAAGATCTAGACAACAATATAATAAAGGTCTCAATGCTGCTACAGTAAGATTGAAGTCAGCCTTTGTAAAATAAAACATAACCAAGAGAAAGATATAATTGTACTGCAGTAAATGATAAACAATGGCAATGCTTATTTAAAAAGTATCCCCCAATTGTCCACCTACACACACACTTTTAAAACAATTAAACATAAATACTATATCAGAGAGTAATTGTGCCCTCATTATATTACAATTGAACACCCCCCCCCCCCAATTTTTTTTTTTTTTTTTTTTTTTTTTTTTTTTTTTTTTTTTTTTTTTTTTTTTTTTTTTTGGTGTACCCCCATGTTTGAAAATAAACTGCTTTAGATAAACTGGTGACTTGCTTAAATTATCTTTTCCACCATTTCAAAGGCCTCAAGAAAAGGCGAAAAGATTTAGCAGAGTTAACTTTTGATAGCTAAAACAAAACACATAATTCAGCTCTTTGGTTGAATGCTGGTTGAAATTTCTTTTTACATTTGGGTGGGGTTAAACCACTTCCTGTCACAGAAGATAACTCTTGTGTGTTGTATATGAACATAGAGAAAGTATGGTTCTCTTTAAAAAAAAAAAGAGATTTTCGAGCGGATATATTTTTTATGAGGTCAACAGCAAGTTACATTATAACATTCTGTAAACTTAAGATTTGAAATAGAGATTACCCAACAAAGAAAATACACAAAATTACCCCCCCCCCCCCCCAAAAAAAAAAACCACACACACATAAGGAACATGGGACAAACATGTCCACATGAAATGAGGCTGGCAAGTTGGTCCATCTACAAGATAGACTATAGAAGTAATGTGAAATTAAAAGAGAAAGGCTCTTCTTTATAGTTGACTACAACTAGACCCAGGAATGTTTTAGAGCTAAAGGTCAAGCACAGGAAGGTCAGACAGGCTAATGGGTTAGGATATGAAGGCATGGCAGCACCACTTCATTTAGAGAAAGAAAAAAAACACTATGTTATGGGGTGGAGAAATGTCAAGGCATTCTAAATCTGACTTCTGGAAATAAGGTATTTATGTGCAGTGGCCTAGTATTTATCTCTAGTCATATATTATAACACAGGATTAGGTCTACAGGTCACCCATATTTTTAAACATTATTATAGCATACCATTAGTCTACCTTCAGTGAAATACATATTTAAATTAGGTGGCTTAATTTCCAGATAAGCTATTATTACAACATGACATGACCTTCATTTTACTAGCCTACAGTCCTTTAGTTTGACCTACTTCATCTTACTAGCCTGCATTCCTTCAGTTGACCTTTATCTCACTAGCTAACAGTCCTTTAGTTTGACCTTCTTTATCTTACTAGCCAATGAACGACCCTTCAGTTTGACCTACTTTATCTTACTTACCTAGCGGTTTCTTTTATTTTGACCTACTTTATATCACTAGCCTACAGTCCTTTAGATTGACCTACATTATCTTAATGGCCTACAGTTATTTAGTTTGACATACTATTTTGAGATAGCAAGTCACTATTGTATGACAGTAGTAGGTAAAACTTGTTTTAACCCTTTCCTACAAACAGATTCCTTTCTACTCATCCTGTCAACAGTTTCAGACATTTCATTGGAACTTAATTTCAAATGGAACCCGTTTGTGGGTGGGTGTGTAGGTGGGTGTGCTAGGTGGGTGTGCTTGGTGTTAAAAATCTAGATAGTATTGTGTTCCTAAATCAATTGATTTAATACAATGTTCATCTCTTTAAGAAAGTTAATTTAACTCCAATTTTTAAAAAAGCTCAGTTGTGTTTAAGCGCCCAGCAACTGCATCCAATTTCTACCATTAAAGGTTGGAAACAATTGCAAGAAATCTTTAAATGGTTGGCATCTAAGGAACTAATAGCTAAGAAGTTAGGGTGTCTGTGTAGCTCCCATTACTTTAGCAACAAAAATGTCTATTTCCACATATTGAAACAGAAAAAATTATCGCATTTTTTAAAATTGTATTCATAAGATCAAATTAACTGAGACATTTGAAAAGGGAAAGGGAAAGGGGGGGGGGGTAGATAATGTGTGCACAAACACCCATGTGTAAAAACTGTACAAAAGAATGTATATGGCCAGTCCTGTGTCTATAAAACTCTGCACACACCATAGCCATAGTGGTGAAGCTAAAAGGATGTTAACTTGTTTACATAATTTTTTTTTTATGAATAATATAAGATATTTGGTCTTACTGCTACAATTAAAAAATCAGAGAGAATAAGAAATCACGAGAACCGCTTGTATGTAATCATCTATTTGTTGGCACGCTGTTTTGTTTCCCTCCTTTACTACAAGCCACGGTTTCCGAGATCAAGTTTTCATGAGCACTTTTCAGTAAACTTGAGGGAAAGGGGGGGGGGGGAAATAAAGTAAATTATTTATAGCACCACGCTGAGCACACAAAATTAAACCGGTGGATCAACATCTGAAAAGCACCACGTGACCTACCCAGCATTCCACACGAACACTGACGGCATGCCACTGCAGTTGGTATCCGCACAAACAATACCATCGCACCCTTGTATCCTGACATGGCGTGCAACGCCGGTGGTGTGGGTGGTTAGGGAAGGCGGTATTGCAAACTGCATGGCAGTGAGAGGAGGAAGACGAAGTTGGTCTTTAACCGAGTTGAAGCAAACCTCACCACCATCGAGTCGGCCTTAGGTCGGTGCAGAAGTTCAAGCCATGAAAACTATGAAAGGACCACGCACACAAAATTAGATGTGCATATTGCGCACCTTTCCGGGAAACTCCACCAACTATTAATGATAACAATAAAGCAGCTCTGCCAAGAAGGTTTCCTGTGCATGTATCTGTAATCCAATTCCCTCTCCTTATGCTACAACCGTATTTGGTAGTTCATGACTAATGTGAAGAACGTGTGTCACCAGCACACGTTACTGATGAATAGCTTCTAGCACAATGCGCCCCAGCAGCACGGGAATAAATGGCCATGTCACAATAAGACGTATGTTAAATTGTATTTTTTTCCACCTTACAACAATAACAAAAAAACAAAAACAAAAAAAAAAGTTTCTTTTCCTGTTTGTTTCTTAAATTTTGTCCAGAGAATGAACATCTCAATATAACTCGTCATTATTTGAAAGTTTCATTCTCAGATCTGAATCAATTTGTCATTTCCCAAATTAAGTTGACCAAACATGTTTGGTTCGTGGCCTGGTGATATGTATTACTTTCATTCTCGATCCACTAAAACGTGTAACTCTTTTTCTGGCCTGAGGATAACTCTTGATAACATAAAAGTTAAAACACGTTTTCAATTCGTACGTTTTTTTTTTTTAAATGTATTTCAATTTTAAAAAAGAAAATAAAAAAGAAATTATTCTTTAATTTTTTTTAAAAATGTAAAGAAATTGAACATAAAAATTGTCAAACTTGAGCACGCCGAACTTCAACGTTATCTACATAACTACTTACACCAAAAGTGTTTACATTTTAATTAAAACCAGGAAACCCAATAGCAAAACTATTATTTTTTTTTGGTAAACCAAATTAATTTTTTTTTATACCATCCTCTACCCCCGCCAACTCCTCTTCTACCCTTCTCTCCCCCGCCAACACATCTTCTACCCCTCTCTACTCTTCTCTCTCACGCCAACACATCTTCTACCCCTCTCTACTCTTCTCTCCCACGCCAACACATCTTCTACACATCTTCTACCCCTCTCTACCCTTCTCTCCCCCGCCAACACACTTTCGCACTAAGAGTGACTTGTGTTAAGACGTGACAAATTAAACAACACTAAAAAACGACTCTTTTTTTTTTCTTATTTAAAAAAAAAAAAAAAAAAAATATACTGTATTTAATTATTTTTGTTAAAACTATTTTTAAATTGCGGTTATAAATGAACGTGCGGCTCTTCAGGGGATGGCGAGCCGAAAACGTGCTTTAGTTTTTATCGAGCCCGAACTTCAGCTGTTATCGAAACGAAACTAGGCAAACTTAAGTTGCTGCCGAACAGAACTAAACCGAATCCGAACTTAAGTTGCTACCGAACCGAACACGAACTTTAAAAAAGGGTTGATTCCCATCTCTAGCATCAACAATGAAAGACCGTCTTTAAAATGTTAGAGAACTGTTGAACACAATTAGTGGCTGAGTATATATATATGTTGGAGAGGAGTCCCTAGAAAATAAACTTTCTTAAACTGAGCAAAGGCCGGATGTTATTGCCCAATGAGGTGTTGAACAGTTTAAATTCTAAGGCGACTCTGAAATAAATGTTTCGAATCCCGGATCGGTTTAAAAACACAACACAGGCACTTTTCTGGGCTGAATAATTTAGATCAGGGGCGTCACTCTTAATTCTTGCAGCATCAGCAGTTGCACAGTGCTCAAAAGTTGTATTTGTATGTTTAATTAAAAAGGCGTGTAAGGGAGCAATACAATCATTTGTACCACGGCCAGGCGTTCCTTACTGATTTGTACCACGGCCAGGCGTTCCTTACTGATTTGTACCACGGCCAGGCGTTCCTTACTGATTTGTACCACGGCCAGGCGTTCCTTACTGATTTGTACCACGGCCAGGCGTTCCTTACTGTCGTTTTATCCTGGATCCACTAATGGTAAAGAAAGTTCTTAACCAAGGTTAGTTGACAGTGATACACTTATACATAACTTTGAGAAAAAATTATGGGGGAGGTGGGGTGTTCATACAGCTAGTTAATATGATAAAACATAACTTTGAGGAACGATTATGGGGGAGGTGGGGTGTGAAATAGCTAGTTAAGATGATAAAACATAACTTTGAGAAACGATTATGGGGGAGGTGGGGGTATGAAATAGCTAGTTAAGATGATAATGCATAACTTTGAGAAACGATTATGGGGGAGGTCGGGTGTTGATACAGCTAGTTAAGATGATAATACATAACTTTGAGGAACGATTATGGGGAGGTCGGGTGTTAATACAGCTAGTTAAGATGATTATATTGATTTTTTTAAAGATAGTTTCTTAAACATAGCCCCCACCCTCCCAACCAATCCTTTTTCCTATCGTCATTGCACACAAGGGTCATGCTGTATCACCATGGATATCTGAGTCAAGTCATTCTACTTTTTTTTTCTCAGCAATAGCGACATAGCTAATGTCATTTATTAGTTGACAACACTTGTACAGACATCTTATAATGGCCAACTTAAAAATGATGGCTAACAAAAGAAATAGCTAGAGAAAAACTGATGAGCGCAGAAAGACTAGGAAATGGAACGCCATTAGTAAGCAATGCTAAAAAGATCATCTTTTTCTTGGCACGCACAATGTTCACACGCTTCCTCAGCCCGAATTACCGTCGGCCCACCTCAGGTATTCCAGCCTCCTGCCCTGCCACCTCCACACTTACTTCTTCAAGCAGGTCTACCTCGATAGAACAGATCCACCAACGGAACAAGATTTGCTCCCTCACCTGTTCCACCCTAGACGACCTATAAATATGTCATCAACTCCAACTCACTGTCTCGTGCTAGACGCCGTACAGCAGAGTCGCCCAAACGGTAGCCCGTGGACCAGCACCGGCCTTCGAACCTTATGTTGCCGGTCGGTACAACATTGTACGGTCAAAAACAAAGAAAAATTAATTAATAAATCTGGCACCGGTCTGAGGTGTAATTTCTAAACGTGTGCACAGGTCCGGCAAACTTAATATTTTGGGAAACGCTGCCGTAAAGGACTGTGTTACGAAAATGAACTGACCATTATTCAATACAGAAAAGGCATTTAAAGACAAGAGGATGTCATAATTCCATGATACATCGGAATAGGTCATAAAGAGGAAAAAGGGATTTCTACAAAAAATATAGAAATGCCTTAAAGTTCGATAGTGTCTTTCGAAGGTTAAAACATTGGATGTCATGGTTCCAACTGTTCACAACATGAAACATTGGATGTCATGGTTCCAACTGTTCACTGCATGAAACATTGGATGTCGGTTCCAACTGTTCACTGCATTAAACATTGGATGTCATCGTTCCAACTGTTCACTGCATGAAAATTGGATGTCATGGGCCACGTAAGAGATGCGAGACGAATCACTGAGCCACACTGAGGTCTTAGACGACAGAGTGCAAGACTTGATGTGTCGGCTGTTAAACAAAGCGCGTGTTAAGGAGGGGGGGGGGGACACACTTGTTGCGATCAGCTTTTTGAGTTGTCGTTTTTTGTTTGTTTTTGTCCCGTTTGTTTTTGTCACCGATAATTATTTTTTAAACCAATTGGGGAACAAGAAACAAAGCCGATTTGGACAAAAATCATAATTTCCTAAATGAAAGAATACGTAAACATTCTAGATTTGTGTTATATATATTCAGACCATCCATTATAATAGATGTTATGGTACTGAAGGGGCAAACCAAGTCAGTGATTAGTTATTTTTTATATTGTCAACCGGAACTCGTTACTGAAAAGAGCAGGAGTTGACTTAGCCCCATGCCAATTTATGATACTCTTAGGTTACAAGACAGTGCAATATTGTTCAGCATGCAGCCATGTATGACGTACTCGTAATTTGAGATATGTTGCCTTCCCGTTCAAATGCAAAAAAAAAAAAAAAATTGTCCCAAGAGTTAAGATAAATTGCTGCCTAAATTGAACCCCAAAATGACAGCGGATAGTGTTTTAACAAGCTATTACTTTTTTAGAACGTAAAAGTTTTTAACTAGTCTTAAGTTCTTAAATTGACGAGCTTTTTTTAAAGTTAACAAAAAAAAAATTGAACGGTTGTCCTTAAGTACGAAAATGTATGGGGGTATATTGGGGACGGGGAGGGAAAATATACATTTAGTTAAGCATGTATTTTCCCAAGACGAGTGTTTCCCAACTTTTTCTATTACTACGCACGTCAATGAATTATTTGACTTGTCTCGCGATGGGTTTGACCAAGTCTCGCCCCCCCCCCCCCCCTTTTTTTTTGAGTAGCAATGCATTTCTCAATTTTGAAATAACGTATTTTTTATTTATTTTTTATTTAATTGCAAAGAGAGCTGTAGATCTTAGAAAATAAATTTGTGCCTTAATGTGTAAAGAAATTTTGTGAAATATGTAACTTAAAAGCCCTTTTAGGGGAAACCAAGCCCTAAACATACCAGCTTTGGCCAAAATGACTTTGGTTTATGCCTCATCTTGTGGAAGATGCTTCAAGTAACAGTTATACCTCTGCCACGATGGTCTTTTTAGAGTCACAAAAACCTTAAGGTATTTCCCATAGGATTACAGAGTAAATTATTAATCGTTCATGGGGGGGGGGGAAGGAAATATTTTCGACTTTAAGAGTGAGTGGGAGCAGAGAATTATTGAAGTGTTACGTGCTCACTACTAAATGTATTGCTAAATCCTGAGCTCATTCTTTACCCAGTAACAGTTTTAAGGACTGCCTAAGAGTCGGTGAGATAAAGCAACTCTGATATAAGAGTACAGAAACTAGATTTTAAACTGAAGAATGGCACCATTCAATATTAATCCAGTTCTTACTTAGTCTTAAGAATCCGAGACAATGATTCTTAGTTCCGTCCCGCCCAGCCACCCGACAATAGTGAATAGAACACAGCGACCCTGGTCTACACCAGAGGCCACTTCATGCCATCAAGCCGCGGCCCACCCTTTCACTACACCCGAGAACCTGTTACCCCTAGCAGGTAACTCGCGTCAATGTACTCACGTGACTCATCACATAGGCACGTGAGGTGTGAAACCTGAGGCCACCGGCAGGTGGACGAAAATAATGTGCGGGGTCAAAAGTCACCCGGGGTCAAAGGTGTACTGTACAGGTAAGACTGAAACACTGACATGGGTCAGAGGTGAGACCCTATGAAGGTTTTCTACTTTTTAATACTTTAAAAATATATTATTCACAAACTTGAAACAAAATATCTCCTCGCTTGAAACGGAAAAATTGGCTGAAGATCGACTTGGCCTGCGCCGACTAAGTCGAGAACTGTGACCGACTTTCAGTTTCCAGACTACAGGAATCCAGAATATATTGAGCTAGGAGCTGGGTGTAGAACTGGTCAAAAACTAATATCATCTCAATGCTATGCAAGGCTGATCTAACGTCTTTATGGTGTATTCCCAACTATGGCTCATTGCATCAGAGTGTACACAAGTGCAACGCTAATCTCAGTTACACCACTGCTTAAAACCCATGAGAGAGAGAGAGAGAGTAAAAAGATGGTGAGAGAGAAAAATAGGGTAATGTATTTATATGAATGCATTTATTTAAGAGCATTCCCATTACCTAGTTCCTCCACTACATGCACTGTGTCTAGATTGACGCAACAGTTAATTATGACCCAAGATAAATAGTTTTTGTCACCATTAAATAGTTATCCGTGCACATACCGTAGTCGTTACAACACACTCAAGGTTTCTCTATGTAAGTCTACCGTAGTCATTACAACAAGCACAAGTTTAAAAATCTTGACCAACTGACTTGCAGGTATTGTATAAACATAAATTAAGCCAGGTAGAAATAACAGCAAGTACCTTCATTTCATCACACATGAAACCCATATCCCAGTCAACACAATTTTTGCTTTACTTAGGTACACTAACATGAATTTATAAATGATCAATGAAAGAAAAAAAAGAGAACATAGGGCTAATTTATGAGCCCTGCAGTTTCTATAATTTCATTTCATAATACCCAGTGAGCAGTCACGCATAAGTAATATAAAGACCCCCACACACACAAACAACAAAAAAACAATAACTACCAACACACAAACAACAACTATACACACACAGAACAACAACCACCGTACACACAAAACAACAAACACCATATGCACATTAAACTACAGGCACCATAAACACACAAAACAACCACCGTACACACAAAACAACAAACACCATATGCACATAAACAACCACCACCATACACACATTAAACTACAGACACCTTAAACACACAAAACAACCACCACCATACACACATTAAACTACAGGCACCATAAACACACAAAACAACCACCACCATACACACATTAAACTACAGGCACCATAAACACACAAAACAACAACCACCATACACACAAAACACCATGCACACAAATAAGAAAATATGTATACCAAAGGTTTACACACTTAAGAATTCAGCCAAAAAAGAAATGAACTAGGCTCTAATAGTGCACCTTTTTGTTGCACAGTGGCTACGTATGTCAAGCGCCGTCTACTAAAGACATTACGAGACTTAGCTCAAAGCCCGCTTCATCAGCCAAGCGTCCACTATTGGCAGCTGACGGCAATTCATAGACAGTGCAAAAAACGGTTGGGTACAGCAGATAATCATCTCATCTTCTTCACTGTCGCCAACTAGGGTCGGATTGTGGATCTTACATGACATTAATGCCTCACATATTTTATATTATCCTACGTGTAGGTGCCGCGATACCATGGAGCAATAGTCTTGAGGCCACCCCGTCCCCGTCAGTCTAAATGATTATTTTAAAGCAAAGTAAACAAACAACCCACATCATTTACTTGCAATTATACTTGGCTTAACAATAATACAATGTTTCCCAACCTTTTTTGTACCACGTCAGCACCCAAAAAGGGCATGACCTCCCTCAATGGAAGAGCTTTCAAAATGGTGACCGACTGAATTTTGATTTCGCAGCCTGTTCAGGCCTCGAGATTCAACATTGTAAGAGAAATACTACCGTAGGATTGTATTGCAAGAAATGATTAACATAACAGTGGTTAACTTTACAAAATGAACCTCCTCCTCATCCTTCTCATGTCCCTTAGTCCTTGGACCGTTGGGGCGCCTAAGATGGCATGTGAACCATCCTCCTCCATTCCTCTCGGTCTTCAGCACTACTAGTGTTAGTCCTGTCCACTCTTTGATTTTATCCCTCCCCCCACCTTTTTCTTTGTCTTCCTCTTCTTCTCCCTCCTCTTGTGGTGCCCTGCAATATTTCTTTGGCAAGCCCTTGTGGCCGTACCATTGTAGTTTGCGTTTTTTCACAGTCACCAGTAGGTCATCGTACTCCCCTGATGAACCCTTTCTTTCACTGTATCATTGGAGATATCGTCCCTATAGCAGATGCCAAAAATGCTTCTGAAGCATCTCATCTACATCGCCATTATTCTCCTTTCAAGATCGGCTGTTAATGTCCAGGATTCGCAGGCATACAGGAAAATTGAGAGGACTAATGAGCGCATCAGCCTGATTTTGGTGCTGGGGGATATATTTTTGTCATTCCATGATACTTTAAAGAAAAACAAAAAAAAAAAAAAAAAAAAAAAAAAAAAAAAAAAAAAACAAAAAACAACAAAACGGTACAATTTGAGAAGACTGAAAGAGATTGTCACTAACTTTAACACAACAATAATCAAACATGGCATAGATTATAGCTCATTTTTGAAATCCTTTATATTAACTTCGTTTTCGTTCGTGGCTGGCTGGCAAAATCTTCGGACGGCTAATTGACCCACTTCCTGTCAAACTATCGAGCTGAAACGAGCACATAGACTCGTTATCGATGACAACACGTTGTATCAAATTGTCAGCCCATCCCCAAAAATCAAGTTTTTCAAGGGAAAAATAGAGAAATATAATGACACTGATTTCAAGAAACGAAAATTCCCAATAACTCGCTAAATGAAATTCTAAGAGCGTTTGGTGCGTAATATTTTTTTTTTCTGAATAGTTGGTGAAATAAATAAGCGGTGTACAAGTGGGTGCGTCATTAGAATATTAATATAGTTCAGGGGCGTAAAAAAAAATGTGCGGTTACAAGCGGGTGGGGGGGTAAGCACTAATTGTGATTCTTATAAAGTGCGTTAGTTGTATGCATGTTTTGTCTAATTTTTAGCCCCAACCCTCCACCATTGTTCGATATTGAATTTTTATAAAGGATTTATACGAACAAATTTGTTTTAGGGGTGGTTTAATTAAATTATAAACCCAAAAATGTTTTGCTTAGAAAAAGTCAGGAACAAAATAGGTTAGTGGGCGTGGATAAAAAAAAAGAGGTTCTTTGGGGCTCATCATTGGCGTATGAAGAAGAAATGGGAATCGAGCAAAACCCGAAGCAAACAATGCGAACTTGAACCCTGCTGACGACCGAACTGAACCCTAACTTTAACGTCACTGACTATGAACCGAGCCAACCTATCGCAAACCCATTAGAACCAAAAATGTTTGACGAATGTCGCACACGAAGTCAGAAGCGCTCATATACTGTACATGAGCGCTTCTGGCGTAAAGTCATGCAATTGCAAAACGATCCTTTATAAACCAAACTTGAAAGGCAACAAGAAGTTACTTATCACAGTGCGGGATAACGATTGTCAATTTCCTTTTGTTGCCACGGCCCCAATTTTTAGCGCTTCTGAACGTTGGCTTCAGCTCTGTATCATTTTTAAGCTGAATGCGTTCTTTTTCGAAAACACCAACTGTCTCAGTATCCGAAAATGGATGCATCCCCCATCTGGAATGTCCATCAAAAGTAGATGGACATTCCAGGCATATCTTTACGTAGCATACCCAAAAGGTCACAAAATGCTTCAAGATCATTATCAGGTATCACATCTTCAAATTCTAGTTCAGACAGGCTTGAAAATCGGAATAACTCACGACGGTCAATAATGCGTTATTTTGTTTTGTTTTTTTTAAGTTTGTCCTAAGGTGATTGAAAAAGTTAATAAAATGTTATGCTCTTGTTTGCCTTGTCAGGATGTGCCTTAATATCAAAATGTTCAATCAGCCGGGGAGGCTTCATTGCCGTATTTTAAAAGACCTTTTCGCATTTAGCCACATTGGCACCTGCTGGTGTGTTTGTGCTTGAATAAACCATATCTTAGGATATTCCAATACTGTTTTTTCTACATTTAAAAAAAAAACTATTTCTGAAATTCTTATTTTAAAATTAAAGTTATTAATTGTAAAACAAAATTTTAATGAAACTATTTCATGGTAAGTGTGTAGGTCTAAGCATAATTCATATCGCTCGAGCTTGAAATTATATTTAAAAAACTAACAGGTTGCATTGACGTAATTTGACCTCAATTACCGCCCCAGTTTATAACTATATCTACGTCCCAAGTCGCTACGGAATGTCATTTGACATAATTTTCAATCTATACATAATTATATTTTAGACATAATCAATACAAACAAAAGTTTGTTTTTTCCCCCTTGTCCAACCAATGTTGTTTAAGACACCTTAATCGAGCATTACAATAGTGTTCATGAAAACTGAAACATACTGGAGAAAATACCAGTTAGGTTCCACTCGTTTTATTTCTGTGTACCATGCAAATGTTTTTTACAAATTTGCCGGTGACGCATATATAGTCAATTTATGAGTGTCGCTTGTTCATTGTCACGTGCTAAGTATACACATGTTGTTCCTATTGCTGCCCACACTGTTGAAAAGATCAAATGTCTTTCCTCGTGTGTTTGACAGTACTATATCTCAGTTATAGCTATTCACGACTGTGAATACTGTTCAATTGTTTTTATTTATTTCATTACAAAATTCAACAGCACCCCCATATGTAATTCTAACTAAGCCACCCCTCCCTCAAGCCTACGGAACATTTTACAGCCCCTTGAGCAATCCCACCGCCCCTTTGAGAACCACTGCTTTCCCGAAAATTGTGAAAGTGTGTATGCTTATTTTCAAGCCACATAGTTGCACCCTGAAGATAAAACATATCTCAACCTGAACTCACTGGCTTTGAATTGAAAGAGTTCAATTATACTTCGGGAGGGATAAAATGTTGCGTACAGCATAAGTATGATACAAACAATAGCTAAATCTCATTACGTGAAGAAACCTTTTATCAATGTGGATTTATTTTTTCGAGGGGGCGGTAGAGGAAGCGAGAGAGAGAGAGAGAGAGAGAGAGAGAGAGAGAGAGAGAGAGAGAGAGAGAGAGAGAGGGTGGATCCAGTCTGGGACATAGATTTATAAATATACATATATATATAAATATATATATATATCTCACTAAAAATACAAAAAAAAGATAAATATCATTACGTGAAAAAACATTTTATCAATATGGGTATATTTTTTCGAGGGGGGGGTAGAGGAAGCGAGAGAGAGAGAGAGAGAGAGAGAGAGAGAGAGAGAGAGAGAGAGATAGAGAGAGATAGGGTGGATCCAGTCTGGGACATAGATTTATAAATATACATATATATATAAATATATATATATTTCTCACTAAAGCCCAACAGCATCTGGAGTCAGAGAGCCTTCCATTTTGCCATTCCTTAACGCTGACAACAGCCGAAACGAATTATTATTTTTGACTGCTTCCCATAACCCACTCCTTGCAGATTTCACATGAAAAACTACCAACTGCTACGTGTTTCCGCATTCCTATACTTATGTCGAGATTCCGTTTATACACCTAATATAATCAAATTTACCAGACCTAAAAACCCAGTTTAGCATCTGTCTTATAGATATGTATACAAACAGATAATACGTTGTCATAGGGTGTACACCCCATAGGTGAGCCATTTGAAAATTGTGGGAAAGGGCGGGGAGGGGGGGTGTATTTGGTCTCTGGAGGAAATGTAATCACACAGGGGGGACATTCAAACCTTTTTATGTGCTCAGGTGGGGCATGGAGAAATAAATTTTGTATCAAGGGCTGCTCAGGTGGGGCAGGACAAATAAAGTTTGTATGAAGGGCTGCTCCGATGAGGCAGGAGAAATAGAGTTTGTAAAACACTGTTTTAAGGGCTGCTCGGATGAGGCATGGAGAAATAAAGTTTGTGAAACACTGTTTTAATGGCAATGTCTAAGTTTATCTATCTGAACCTTTCAAACAAAGACAGGAGTGGCATATACCAAGCAGTTCCCATCCTGGAGCTGCCACTGTTTAAATGGCAGTACCACCCATATAATTAAGTATATGGTTTAACAATAATCCCATTACCCCCCCCCCCCACACTAAAAATTCTTATTTAACAGCAATCAAATTAAACATTGTTCTTTTTTTATTTAGGATTTTTTACCAAAGTGAATAGCTGTAACTTGAAAGGTAACAAAATCTAGAGAACAAAGCACCCTTAATAGGACACATTATGGTGATTGAAGACAATAAAATACACTTGATATAATTGTAGTGAAGGGTTCCCATAATGTGAGGAAGCATTTCTCTTTGACATAGACTCAGTTCTTTCATTACACTGATCCATGAATGTCATGTGGGTTTCACTGTAGTTTTACAAGACAACCAACAGCAAACATCTTGATGCATGCATCATTTATTTTACATGTTTGCTAATGTGTCAAATAATATAGCTAATTTGAAGAATAAAAAAGTCTTTTTTTGTGGGGGAGGTAGCTTAACTTGAACACATCATTTCCTAAGGCAAAAGAACATCGATGGTGGACACTAAGCATTAACAGCGGAAATGCATTAGAACTTATTTTATGTGTGGGTGAGGGGTGGTGCCGAGGAGCACTAGATATCAATATGATGTGGGTGGGTCATAATGTTGATAGCACTAGCTATCATGGAGAGGACAAGTGGTGGTGTTGAGAAGCACTAGATAGCATGGAGTGGACAAGTGGTGGTGTTGAGAAGCACTAGATATCAAAGAGTGGATAAGTGGTGGTGTTGAGAAGCACTAGATATCAAAGAGTGGATAAGTGGTGGTGTTGAGAAGCACTAGATATCATGGAGAGGACAGGTGGTGGTGTTGAGAAGCACTAGATATCAAAGAGTGGATAAGTGGTGGTGTTGAGAAGCACTAGATAGCATGGAGTGGATAAGTGGTGGTGTTGAGAAGCACTAGATATCAAAGAGTGGATAAGTGGTGGTGTTGAGAAGCACTAGATATTATGGAGAGGACAGGTGGTGGTGTTGAGAAGCACTAGATATCAAAGAGTGGATAAGTGGTGGTGTTGAGAAGCACTACATATCATTATGCTTGGATAAGTGGTTAGTGTTGAGAAGCATCAGAAATCATGGAGTGGACAAGTGGTGGTGTTGAGAAGCACTAGATATCAAAGAGTGGATAAGTGGTGGTGTTGAGAAGCACTAGATATCTAAGAGTGGATAAGTGGTGGTGTTGAGAAGCACTAGATATCATGGAGAGGACAAGTGGTGGTGTTGAGAAGCACTAGATATCAAAGAGTGGATAAGTGGTGGTGTTGAGAAGCACTAGATATCATTGAGTGGATAAGTGGTGGTGTTGAGAAGCACTAGATATTAGGGGTGTGCCGGACCCCGGTCCGGAATCCGGTTCCGCCGGATTTTGCACTATCCGGTGAAATCCGGTTCCGCCGGATTTACATGTATCCGGAACAACAGGATTCCGGAATATACCGGATTTCGGAATTTGCCAGATTTTGTGACTCACCGGATCATAATCTGAAATAAAAGTAATTCTCTTTCCCGAATTTCACACGATCACGATACATTAATCGATTGTTTCGAGCGTTGAGCTTGTTTAATGTTTAATATTCCGTACATACCAGAGGCTAGAGTCAGCACCGCTAATAGTGGCCAATAGTGTAGGGACTTTGATAAGAAAATTTAAACCTTTTGTAAAAATAAACCAATGGCATAGTTGAAAAGATGTAATTTTTTAAAGAATTATAACACCAAAATCATATTTTTAGCTGTTGTAGTTTTAAAGTTATGAATTTTTAAAGTACGACTTGGTTTGTCATTTTTTAACATGGACTGCATCTCCACATTCTGTGATCTCATTCCACCAATCCCGTCATGCGCAATGACTATATAGTTTATATAAGGCAACGCATTCCCTGCCTTATCACTAAAATACTGTTTAGACTTAGTTTAAACTTTCAACTTTGGCACATGAATAATTAATTAAAGCTTTCCCTGACCAATGGTTTAATAGTTTTTGCACACGGCAAACTCTTATGAATGAAACTCTGAGGTAGTACTACGATACAGTTATGCAAGTGGCTGTGAATGGTTGCCAATGACAACGTGTTGCACACGGTAAATTCTGATCATTTATAATATGGATTCTACCGGGTTGTTAAAGCTCAAATTAAAACATTCCAGTTTAAATGTCTTTAAATGCATTCTGAAACACAAGTTATCAATTATTTTGATGTAAATAGTGATAATAAATTAATATTTCCTAAGTATCGTCAACTTCCGCCATTAAAAAGGGGGGCGTGGCCAACCCCATGGCGAAATTAGGTTGAGCGAGCTGCATAACCTGCTGCGAACGCGTAGAAACATGGCGTCTCTCGTAAGACACTTATCCAAATGGAACGGAACTCAAATATATATCGAAAGTACTAATTTAATAATAAATAGACACACACATCGGAAAATTAAAAACTCGGATTTTTTGGCGCCGATTGCGAATTCCCATACACAAAAAGTAGTAGTCCACCTTGACTTACCGAAGTATCTACCAATAGTACCAAAATCCGGAATCTGGGAGAAACCGGAATCCGGATCCGGCGGATTTCGCATAAGAAAATCCGGATCCGGATCCGGTTGGAAAAAACGGATCCGGCACACCCCTACTAGATATCATGGAGTTGATAAGTGGTGGTGTTGAGAAGCACTAGATATCATTATGCTTGGATAAGTGGTTAGTGTTGAGAAGCATCAGAAATCATGGAGTGGATAAGTGGTGGTGTTGAGAAGCACTATATATCATTATGCTTGGATAAGTAGTTGGTGTTGAGAAGCATCAGAAATCATGGAGTGGATAAGTGGTGGTGTTGAGAAGCACTAGATATCATGGAGTGGATAAGTGGTGGTGTTGAGAAGCACTAGATATCATGGAGTGAATAAGTGGTGGTGTTGAGAAGCACTAGATATCATGGAGTAAATAAGTGGTGGTGTTGAGAAGCACTAGATATCGTTTTGCTTGGATAAGTGGTTGGTGTTGAGAAGCACTAGATAGCATGGAGTGGATAAGTGGTGGTGTTGAGAAGCACTAGATATCATGGAGTGGATAAGTGGTGGTGTTGAGAAGCACTAGATAGCATGGAGTGGATAAGTGGTGGTGTTGAGAAGCACTAGATAGCATGGAGTGGATAAGTGGTGGTGTTGAGAAGCACTATATATCATTATGCTTGGATAAGTGGTTGGTGTTGAGAAGCATCAGAAATCATGGAGTGGATAAGTGGTGGTGTTGAGAAGCACTAGATATCATGGAGTGGATAAGTGGTTGGTGTTGAGAAGCACTAGATAGCATGGAGTGGATAAGTGGTTGGTGTTGAGAAGCACTAGGTATCGACCTGTTGTGGATAAGTTGTGGTATTGGGAAACACTAGATATCAACATGTTGTGGGTGAGTGGTGGTGTTGAGAAGCACTACATATCAACATGTGAATTGTGAGTTTTTGCTTAAGTGGGGGCTTTCAGTAAACTGGATAGGTGTTGGTCAAGAATTTTTCAAGTAACAATGGGCTGATTAGATATTTCAAAATTAGATATGTTAAAATTCTACAATGTTAGTACTCTGTGTAGTTATAAGATGCAGAATTATTAAAGTAAGTGACAGAGTAGAGAGAAAAAAAGAGAGAGATAGAGAGTAACTAGTTTATTACTAAAAAAATATTTTAAAATTAAATCACAATTTTTCTAAACTGCCAAAACCTACCTGCATGAGGTCATTCTTTTCCTTCTCTCCCTGAGACATCTTAGACTGGAGTTGTCGAATTTCAGATAATATCTTTTGTGCTTGTTCCAGACTGTATCCACCAGATATAGACTGTAACTTCTCACCAACACTGAAATCAAATATTTCAAGAGATATGTCAATAAGCTGCTTAACAATAACTTAATGTTAATTTATGCCCTAAACGGTTACACAGGCTTATGTCATATTATTTCAGTTAAAATATTTATATTTTGATAGCTATTTCTTTTAAGTTAGACGGCAAAGTGACATTTATAAAAGCGTCATATCTCTCTTTTGAACAAGTCATCTATAATTATAAACAACTATTAATTCTACATGAAATATTTAAAATTGTCTTGTGCTTACTTGGAAAGAGTTTCAACACCTCTTTCTTTATAAGACATCTCAGCCCCAATTTGCTCCAGTTCACGTTTGAGTCTTGCCACTCGACTCTTTGCCAGATTGACATCTTGTTTTAGTAGGTCAGGGTCATACTTGGTGCTACCCACACTAGAGTTAGAGTTTACTGAAGAGGCCAAAAAAAATAAAATTCTATTAATAAACGTAACATACTTTCCTAAATTAGCAAAAAAATTAATTTTTCTAAGAGATTAGTTTAATTAACATATATAAATGTGTAGATGATGTATGTGAATGGTTATTTACAGATGTGTAAAATACTTTTAAAACTAAATCACTCGGAACGTACAACTAGTCCTTGATGACTTCCAGCCTGACAATGTGTCATTAAGGTACTGGAACTCATCCTGGGCCAGCATCAAACGTTGTTCTTTGATGGAGTAAATCTCTTTCTTGGCCTGAGAAAATTAAAGAAACAATGCATAACGTCAAAGCACAACATTTGAAAAACTTATTCCTATGTGGCATATAAAATCATTAAATATTTAAATAAAGGTAAGACTGGGATAAAGATTAAAATACACAAACTGTCAGTAATAAGTATTTAGTTTAGATTGAACAAAGTAATTTAGAGAATGGTAAAGTGGAGCTAAGATTGCACTGTTTTATCTTTTAAAAATTTACAATCATTTCTAACATCTGAAGATGACAGCTAACACTGATCTTGTCTCAAAACAGACAACTGACAATTCTGCAGCTGCCAATTAGTGCAAGTGCAAGAAGAGTTGGCCATAACTACTAAGTTTTACTAGAGATTATTGGTGCGATGTGTTACCTCCAGGTCTTCTTGTGCTGTGACCAGGTATTCCTTGAGCATGTGTTCCTGTTCTTGTCGCCATTGTACTCGAGGGTCTTCAAGTTGGTTTAGTTCTACAGACAGAACACAATCACACATGTTCATTCTTTCAAACTAGCACAGACATTAATTAGTCTAGCTCTAAACATATGTAATTATCAAGGTGAACAGATTTTCACACCATAACAGAACTTTTTTAACATGAAGACATTAGATAATATTTGTGTATCCAGTGAACTGAGGAGACCACTTACGGTTGATGTGGTTAATGTAATAGACTCCAACATTTGGATCATAAGCTTCCTCCCATCCAAGTGGCAACTCATCTCCAACACAGTCAGCGAATGACTGGGGTTTTGTAAACCTACAATAAAAAGATAAAACCATGTAACCTTAGTCATTAAAATAAACATTGGAAAAACTTTTACTATTGCAACAACAAACAGAAATTTAAAAAAGACATATACATTTAATACATACTTAAATAGCAAATATTGATTTGTAGCTAAAGATATGTTGGCAAGCAAACTGAATGCCAACTTATTCAACTACTATTTCACTGAAAGTTGTTTTTTTAAAATGGAATTTTCTGCATTCATGAAGAAAACTAAATACATTTATAACTTGTAGCTTTTGTTTAGCAGAGTTTTATGTTTCAAAGCTTTTTTTCTGTGTCTACTGTGTTTTTAGTCAGTAGTTGGAAAGGCTTAAATTCTGTTGTACAAAAACTAGCATTTATACATCCAAGTCCTTTAATTTTCAAGCAAAACGACACAATCATGTTTCAATAACTCCTAATTTTGTTTTCCCCAGAGATAGACCAATTATGTTGTCTTATTTCCAATTTAAAAAAAACCAATAACAAACAGAACAAAACAAAAAAAAATTTAAAAAAAGAATAAAATTCTCATTGCTGATATATCAGCACTCCAACCAAACAGCCCTGTTTCAAAAGCTGAAATCTCAGTACACAGGACATAAAGAGTTAAATAAGATGTATGAAATGCAAACCATAAGACAAATATCAAATATCTGAGAAGAAAAAGTAAGCTCAGGAATTGTGAGAGCCATACAGATTTGATGACTAGGACCTAATAAATAGTTGGCTTATAAAAAAAATTACATTTTCAAATGTACTTTATCTAAAAATTTTATAATACTCTCATAAAAAGTATTTAAAAAACAACTATCATGTGCATGTTCCATCTGTTACGATTTTTTAAATTTAAAAATTCACTTTCATTCTGAGTACTTTTTAGCACATATAACAAAAACAGTTTTAGCGTTTAATGCACAAAATGGGATGTCAGCCCAGCAGTACACTTACACTATTTAAATGTGATATCTCCCACAAAAAATATAGCAATTATAGCAAATATGCCTGCTGTAAGCAATTAAATGCTTAAAAATATCTCAAAAGTTCCTCTAGCATTTTTAATCCGTTTTCTCAATTCTTGTCTTGCATCACAAGAGGTCCTTATCCTTGTATACACTTCACTTGTTTCTTTCTTAACTGCTTAGAGCACAAAACTTTTTTGATAATCATCCATGCAGATTATTTAAGGGCTATCAATCACAACTGTTGTTTTTTTTAGTTCATAAATTTGTTTGCTTTTTTAAAACAAAGCTTCTTATTTAAATTAGTATTGAAGTGAAGCTAAGAGAAACTAATGGTATGTAATTAATGATGCATTTAAGTTTAGGATCTAAAATAACATATTTTCAAAGTAATATAATATATTAATTTACTTTATAAATGAATATAAATGTTGAAAATTTTTTAAATTACACCCTAGAATTAAGATAAATTAAAAATATTAAAATTAAGAGTTTTTTGTTGGTTTTTTTTACATATAAATGTTTTTAACATGTTTAAACATTATCAACATTAAATCTCTGAAAACTGTATTGTATTTCTAATGAGCATAACCATTTTTTAATTGCAGGCTTGAATTAACTGCCAACATATCTTTATAGTAATACCTCCTTCACAAACTAATATTCTATTCCAAACTCTCCAAAATGAGGGTTTTTTTTTTTTTACCCGCAATGGCAATTAGCTGTTTTTAATGTTACAAACATGTTTCTTTAAATAGTTGCAGGATGATATGAGTGACTTATTATTGCTAACATTTACAGATTCTTGTAAAGTAACATCAAATAAAGCAAAGAGACTGAGATTCACAATTATGTTAATGTGTCAACAGTTTGAATACCCTCATTAAACTAATATGTACTCATTATTAAATAAATCTTCTAACAGCATACTATCTTTGGTCACAAGTGTTTTTAGTTAAATTTTTTTTAAAAACTAATCTGTCAACCCACTTGACTTCCGATTATTTATCTTGAGTTATTCCAGGTATTTAAGACAAGGCCTTACCAAAATAACAGATAGGCTAAGCAATCAGTGACAGCATTGGCTAAAGCATTATTATGAATAAAGGAATATGAATATAAACAAACAAGACAAAATTTCATTTATTTAGATACAGCTGTGTACATATAAAGATGAATTAGATTAAGGCCCTTATAGTTCATATCCTATTGTAAAACACTGAAGAATCGTTTTCTTTTAGATTACATATTTAAGGTACAGAGAGTGCCTAAAAACATGATTAAGACACCAAAATACATTGCCCCAGTTAAAAGAATAGAGCTAGGCCTAAAAAACACAATTTTTTTAAACAATTTTAATAATCCTCTAGGCTAGCAAAAAAAGTTTTGATTACAAATAAAAAGTCACATTAACTTAAGTCTGTAATCATACATGAAAACGAAAAAACAAATGCTTCCAACAAAAAATTTGGTCATGAACATTTAAGTCATTGCAATATTAATAATGTTAGGAATTTTAAAATTAAGCAATTTTAAATTCAGTTGTGTCATTCTATCTTATAAAGAGACTTTGGAAGGATTCTCTTTTTCTCTCATCCTACTAACTACTAACACAATTAAATATAGCTACAAACTATATTTTTAATACAAGTCACTCACTCAATGCAACAGGCTTAAGCATCATTTAAAAAATTATACTAACCCATAATGTTAACAGACTATCAACATAAATCAAATAAGTGACATCTTCAGATATCAAATAATGAGATTGTGTATTGAAAACTGAATCATGAAATATTCACAATTTACTACCTTTCTTTAAAAAAAATACTCAATCAATTATCAATCTGCAACATTGTCAGTTAAGAGCTTGGTGAAATTTAACAACAAAATTATTAAGGTTTTACTTCAAATTTTAAGTAAAATATTAAAATCGTAGGCTACAGATAGTTAAATTAATACACATGGCTCCCAACATTTAATGGTCATTACAGAGTGTGCTATGAGTAGTCAAAATAATTTTGTCATTAATTTAAAATATGATAATAGAATATAAGGGTGTAGGCATAGGAAGACAGGGGCAGAGGGGCACATTTTCGGTCACTCCAAAAACTTAATAAAGCTTATGTATTTATGACGCACTGTTATATGGTTTTGAAAATATCAATCTGTTTTAATATTTGGCTCATTGGTTGAACAATATGTAACAGACATGAAACAGTATGCAAAGAAAAATTATAAAAAAAGCTAGTGATAATAACAATATTCAATTTAATTATACCATAAAGTGAATAAAAAAATACAAAATCAAATATACAGAAATAAAAACTATATAAACTTACAGCACAGCAAGTGATAAGGTATAATCCTCGAAAAATACATATATCAATATTCAAACATAGAAAGAGTAAAATCTTGAAAGGCTCCTATAAATATATTAATATGTCTTGTGTCTATGAAATGTAGCAAATCTCTCCCAGATAGAAAATCTGACGGCTTATTTATAGGGAGGGTGTTAGGACCCCACCCACCCCACACACACACAAACAAAATCCTGTTAATTGCATCACCCATTATCATTCTTTAGAACAAACTAGAATGTAAACATTACTTTCCCAATCAAGGGAGGGGAGTGGGGTAGTATTGCATGGCACATTAAATCTGTGACATCAATATCAAAATAAAGGGGAGACAAGTGGTTGAGGCAAAAATTATGTCAACACACAGGCTTCAACAGTATTCCATTTTATGTTTCATAGTTTGTGTGACTATGCTATGGCAAAATCAAGGACTGCCCTGGGCATCACAAACTCTACCTCCTGCACTGAGAGTATGTCATAAATAGCTACAATGGCAGTTTCCAACTAGTGCGTCAAAACTGATATTCAAGAAGCTTCACAGATGAGTTGCAAGATTTGGATAGAAGACATAAAAGAAAGTAAATTTTTGGGGTATTTTACCAACTAAGTATTTTGACAGTGTCATTCACATTTAGATAGCACTGAAAATTCATTTAAAAATAATAATCTGATATGATGATAGTTTTCAGCGACACAACTGAAAATGTTTCCTTAAACAATTACCGGTAAGCCTATCTCATTTAATCTCAAATGTCTCAGTTGTATCAAAGAAATTTAATATTACAGTAAGATGTCAATCAGGAATAATAGTGGATTGACCCGGCCTGTACTCATAATTGATCATAATTAATAATCTATTTTTTAATCCCACAGTCCACAGAGAACCTGGTATCTTCAGTTTAAGACATCTTATATATATGGACCTCAACTTTAAAAATAATTTTTAAACCTGCCATGATCAAGCAATAATCAATAAGTTTTACAATTTACAACTTTACACTGTCAAAATAAAAAATGGGAGGAGGGAGAGAGTGAGAGCCCTAAAATACTAATAATAATATAATAGTAATACTACTAGTAATAAACTGGATAAACTAAATATTTCGTAAAAGAAATGTTAGCCTACCTCATGCTTAATTAGGCAGTATTAGTATTTATCACTTAGTAATAAACTGCACTTGTCACTTGTACAAGTTATTATGTCAACTTATCTGATTATCAGACTTATGTCATAAAGGCCTAGGTCTGTTTAGTTTAGGCTTTAAAATAGTAAAATACTTATATTTTAATTTATTAGAATATGGCCTACTAGCCTACTGACTGAGACTGGCCAAAAGTTCATGCTAGTGTCCAGATTAAATTGTACATCATCAGTTTAAGGTGGTTACATCGGCTACTGTTTGAAGTGTTTCGCATTCATTCTTCATTGACGTTTCTTCACTAAATCTAAAACTCAACACTAAACACTACCAATTCGGATTATCCTACCTGTCACGGGGGTCTATCCACGTAGTCCTTCGATGTATATGATCAATGAAGAAACTTTTTCCATCGTAATCAACTGCTTTTTCCCATCCCTCGGGCAGGGGAAGGTCCCCGTTTCCTCTTTCTGGCATATTTCATCTAAACTTTTTTGTTTCAGCCACTCTCACACATTTTGGTCCACCATATTGCTTTTTGCAACTTATTAACATATGTGACGTCACGTGACCTGGGTCAACCAATGAGATGTAGTCTCAAAGATTGGCATGCATACCTAAACAGCAAAATAGTTTGTGGAATTATTCCTTGGCATGCTACCCCTCGCAAGGTCGGCTTGAATGAAACAACACGGTCTGGGAATGTTTGCATTATTGTCTTCTTTTCAACCCGAGCTAGACACGGAACTTCTATAGCTGTTAAGATTAATAACCATACAAATGTATTCACTGAGATTTGTTAATAAAGCCGTGCGTGCGTGTTTTTCAATTGCTTATATATAAAATATAAGTCAATTAAAAAAGGAGGGGAGTGTCACAGAATATAAACTAATTTATTTAATTACGAGATTGTATTAATATTTTTATGTTTGGTGAGAAAATTTGGCTTTCAATAGTTAAAAAACTGAAAGAGAAAAAAATGTGTTTAATAATTTTATGATTAGGCCTTAATATATAATTTTTTAAATAATATTTTAGAATCATTATAGGCCTAACTTGTCATGTCATAACTAAAACTCTATATTGCATTGTTATTTAGAATTTCATTGTAGGCCTATTCTTTCTTCTTTTTTTTTCTTTATAATTTGGAAGAAATACAACTAGATGCTATCATGAGATCAAAGTAAATAGTATTAGCTACATATGTTCTTAATTTCAACTCTTTATCTCTAAAGAAATAGAAAACAATATTTTTCTTAATCACCGAAAATGGTGTTTAACAAACACAAAAACAATAACCAAGATAAACACTAAAACAATGTTGACTCACGTTGACATTCAAATATTTTATTATATGTTTTGTAAACTATCATTTTTAATAACAGCAAACAGAGTTACCAAAATATAGATGCAAATGATTGTAAAATATAACCCCACACACACACATACAATTTTTAAAAAAATGCTGCTTGTTTTCCAGAATGATCTTTTAATTTTTTAAAATTAATTATATATATTTACTGCATATATAAATGGGCGCCCGCAGAAAACTTTCTAGGGGGGGGGGCAAAAAAATCGATTAATTTTCCAGGGGGGGGGGGCAAAAAATTGTTAGTAATGTTTTAATGTAGTTTTAATTTACTGTAGCGTATTTGTATGGTGAACGAACGGACAGGACATCAGCTTAGTTAATTTCTCTTTATTTTCTCTTTACTTTAATAATTTTTTTGTCTATTTTTGTCTAAAAAAAATGTATCCAATCAATCCAGGGGGGGGGGCAAGTGCCCCTCCTTGCCCCTACCTGCGGGCGCCCATGTATATATATATATATATATATGTATATATGTATTTATATATGAATGGTTTTATAAAAATAAAATACATCGCAAGGAACAAAACATGATAAATGTTAATAATGTGTTATATTGAAATATTAATCAGTGTTTTTAATGTGAAGATAATAGTCTACACATTATTTTATTACCAAAATTAAAATTCACAAAACTACTGATAAATATTGTCTAAATTAATTGAAAAATCCTTCAGCAAGATGGACGTCCGCCCTTTAACCAATTTGTCAAAATACTATTGCTAACATTTTCAAGCTTCTAAAATTTACTTGCATGCTCACTCGATTTTTCAGTCATATAGCCTACTATAGGCAACCATGTCGTGACCATAATTTTATTGAATTTATATTTGTGTGCGTGCATAACTATTCTATGCACACAAAAAAAGTCATCAGAGGATTGTTGTCAAAAATTAATTTTGAACTACTTTATATAATATTGAATACGTTATAAGCTATAGCATTATAGGTATACAGATAGACTGGCATAAACTTAATTAACCCATTCAATCCTGGGCATTCAAAGATTTTATCATTTGAGACCTCAGCCAAACGAAAACAACTCCACCCTCATCGCAGATGGTTATAGATTTTTTTTTTTATATTTTAAATAATCTATTTAACAGTATATTTAAATGGAATAATTTGATTTGCATTCATCATTGGTTGCATCACGTGTTATATAACATTATTTCACAATGCTTTTTTTTTTTTTTTTTAAGATAAATATAAAAGATGAGAAAAACATGTAACAAGAAAAGAATGAGGGATGTCAATAAGATAAACATAAATGAGAAAAACATTTCACAAGAAACAAATGTTTGTTTAAAAACACACACACAAAGAAACCAANTTAAGTCTACTTGATACCCCACCCCCCCCCAATCCCAAACCCAAACAGTAAGAAACCCGTGTGTCGTCACATCCGCCTGATTGAACTCACCAACAGCAAAAGCTTTCTCAATGTTTAAAATCTGGTTAGGCCGGAAAACCAAAGTGTTTGGGCATCTACTCCAAATCCTCCCATGGAGGCTTTCATTGGTATTATAAGTCTTCCCAAGAAGACACACATTTAACAAGCTTTGCCTTGTTAGCCTTTTATAGATTTCTTTTAAGTGAGGTGCAAATTTGGGATTTAAATAGGTTTTAAGCCGACCATTGTGAGAGAGGGTGGTTAGATCTCTTGCTTTGGTTCATTGAAAGTTACAGCAAGAATCTGAATCAGAAGAACGTTTCTCGATTGTCATTGGTTGATTCTGAGTCATAGAATGCAGTTCATATAGTATCGCTCATTTCATCAACAGAGACATTGTATGCATGTCCTGACAGCCTTGGTGTGGTAGGTCTAAAGTAGTCCCATCTTAGTCTGATAATAATAAATACGATTTTTTTTAATGAGAAAAAAAAAGAGAAAATTAAAAACACTCTTCTTGTCACTAAGGACTTTAAGGACTTTCATTTATGTGTCAGATTTCCTAGTCCAGCACCACCTAGCCCCAACCTCTCTTGTTTTCTGTGTTGACTAGGTTACGAAGCGCTGTGTTGAGCCTATTTGCAACATGGTTTATAAGTTCTTGCTTTTTAATGTCCGTCGTCCCATAGAGCTTGGTTTCAGAGAGAGCAGAGAATTGTTTTACTGTGTCACCATTTGAAACAAGATGTGTATATTGCAGCTCGTGCAGCACTTATGACTTGCCCCAGATAATTATAACTGCTCCCAAATCCAAATTTACCCCCCCCCCCCCAAAAAAAAAGAGCAGAGAATTGTTTTACTGTGTCACCATTTGAAACAAGATGTGTATATTGCAGCTCGTGCAGCACTTATGACTTGCCCCCGATAATTATAACTGCTCCCACTTCCAATTTCCCCCCCCCCCCACAGACGAACCTGAAAAGTATTTAGAACATTTCGGTTTGAGCTCTTCATACCAAGTGGAGGGTTTCTAAGGGCAAGCAAGTCTCGTGGTGTCTCTAACAGTAATACACTGCTGAATAGATTGTAAATATTTAAAAAAAAAAAATTATGACAGTTAAAATTTAAAATTTATAATGTAATGAACGGTGAGCAAAATTATTAGATCACAAAATACATTTTTAATAATTTTAACACATTTATTTAAAAATGACCAGACCATATGTTGAAATTGCACGGCACGGCAGCCCAAAGCCAAACAAGTCGTGACATCAATGACCACACCTACACCAAGTTTTGAGATGTGTGCGGGACAACAGCTTATCCAAACTCTCAGAACTAATGGGCACGGGGATGAAGATATCACGGTTATACAATGACCATGTAAAAGCTATTGAAAAGGCCACGATGACAGAACTTGCTTCTGTTGTTCTCAAGTCTACAGCTCGAGTATAGTGAGTCCAGCTATGACGGCCCGTAGGCCTAAAGTAGGCCTACAAGCCAACTGTGTTCAATCCAATCATTTGATTCATGCACACGAAAATTTGGGACCCTTCTCATTAAAAAAAAATGTGTGTGTGTAACTCGTTGTCCCCAAGAAATCATCAAAATACACAATTCTCTAAGTAACAATGTCCCTAACGCTACCAGCTGGCGCTGATTTTACTTAATAAAATTCCCTTTAACTTTAACTGCCCTTCTTGAGATTCTTAAAAATGACGCAAAAGCTTTTGGTGCATTGTGTAACGTTTTCTTTTGCTTTACGGAAAACGGTAGTGTAATAAATCTAAAGCGTAAAAAGGGCATTTGACATTGGAATATCAATATAATTCAGGGGCGAAAAAAGTGTGCGATTGCGAACTCGGGGGGGGGGGGGGGGGGGGGGGGGGGGGGGGCGCGTTAATTGGGCTCCTAACAAAGTGCGTTCCTTGAGTCTCTGTTTTGTCAAGTAACTTTAGTAGATGGGAAGTTCACACATCGCCACCGCCATTGTTTGGTGGCCTACAACTGGGTTTCAATTATTAGGTATCACGATATGGATAAGTTTTGACAAATTTTTGGCGTTTAAAAAAACAAACAAAAACAAATGAAGGGTTCAAGGGGAAAAACCAGTGGTATCAGTTTTTTCGAAATTTGTAAGTTATCTCCCGTGTGGCTAGTGGCTCCATCCATTCAATAGAAAAATAAGACACATAGGCACAACTGACTTAAAGTAGCGTAGTCAATGAATAAATATTTAGACATTTTAACATTTTTTTTTTACTTTAATGAGTAATTTTCAAACTTTATTATCAATTTTTCTCGAAACTCTCACAACCTGACATCACTGGTTTTTCCCTTGAACCCTTCAAATTTGAAAATGTTTGCACGCTCTAACACCAAAAACTTAAAAATTTAACGTCACTTCCGAGTACTCTTTTTTTTTTTATTCTCTTAATAATCTTAAAGAAAAATAATACAGTACTGGATGCTAGGTGCGAGGTTTTGTTTTGTGCTACCAGGTAGAATCATGAGATAAGATTATTTTATTGATCAAATAAATCATAAGATAGGATTAAGTCGTTATCGATCGAATAAATCATAAGGCAGATTATTTTATTTTTATGGATCAAATAAATCGAAATGTTCTTAACAGTTGGAGAAGCACGCCGGTAGATTATATATTGACAAACAAATGAATTGTTATATCTTTCGAACCTTACTTTGATTTTGAGGGAAACAATTCGCCCTGATTGAGTTGATCTTAGTTTGAGGTATCTCTGATGAAGAGAGTGGGAAATATC